TTGATACACAGATGTGAGTTAAAGATGTAAAGTTAGCAGTTTTAGCAGATCTGACGGCGTCGGCTTTTGGACGTTCGTTTAAAAGCGGTGCTACCTTAACAGGAGTGATGCTTCAAGCAGATTTAGTTTCCACATCATGACTCTCTGTGCTTTTTGTGGCCAGATACATTTCTCTAAGTCGGGGAGGGAAAAAGAGTATTGACTTTCAGCAATGAGTGTGGGAGGGGCGGCAGAAGCCTCAGCCACACTGGGGGACAGAACATTTTAAGATGTTTGTACACTTTGATGCTGATAATCGGCCCGCTCTTACCATGTAGTTCTGAAAAAACCCGACGGTGGGTTACAGCGTGTTCCTTCCCTGTCTGTGAAACCTGGAGCTGCTCCGCAGAGATAATCAATAAAATCCCACTTTTATGCGCGTTTGCCATATAAACCACTCTGTATTTGGTTAACCTGTTATTCTTTTAATTGACCAATACGTCAACATATAAAAATGCAAGTCATAACAGGATGTTAGCATAATTTGCAACAGAGTCGGACACAATATTGAAACGAGAGAAAAACGTCGACGAATAGAGTGATTGGCTGTGACGGGGAGGGGAGACACGAAAAATTTAGGGATTTAATGACCCTTTTTTTTTTTTTTTTTTGAGTTTTAGACTTTTGAAAAAAAAGGGGAGTAAGTTCATAATTTGATAATTTTCTGATTTTTGCCTCTGTCAAAAATCCTCCAGCACATTCTGTGAGTTCATCTCTACATGCAGAAATGCTAAATTATTAAATTCTCTCGTCTTTACAGCTGCCTGCGTTTACTTGTACCGGCTTGGCTGCCAAAGTGTTCATGCGTGGGTTTCAAATTGCTAATCAAAAGCAAAAAAAAAGAAAGAAAAAAAAAAAAGAAAGTAAGTTTCAAACAGCAGCACGTTGGAGCCATTTATCTTCCCCTCCTGTCTTGCTCTTTTCCCTTTTAACCTGGCAGTAGCGTACTGTTGCATAAACAATGGTCTGGACAACCACCTTCAGGCTATTGTGGCCCTCTGCTGGGCTGAACTCTGGCCAAGTGGATGTTGTGGCAGGAGACTGCCTCGCAGGCGAGCGCGCAGGCCAACCAGAGGCGTCCGTTCCTGTAGGCGAGCCCCCAGTGGACGGCGGCGGAGGATATTACGGCTGTGACGGCCCCTGGATTGTGTGTGTGTGTGTGTGTGTGTGTGAGGGGAACGTGACTTTGAAATTTAAACAGCCTGGGAGGGGGACGGCTTGGCCCCGGCAAGCAAAATAATCCCATCCCTGCAAATGTCAAACTAAAATTGAAACCCAAGCCACCTTTTTCCTCCTTTTTTTTTTGGACTTGTGCATGTGTGTGTGTGTGTGTGCAGCTTGTGTGATTTCACATGCTGCTTGTGTTTAGTATTCATAATGAGGTGTTGCAAAATGCACGCTCTCCGCATATCTTTCTCGGCTCTCGTACCACCTGTATAAACAACAGAGCTGTTGCGAAACGGTTCCAAGAAAAGGCTCTTCCCGGGCTTGTTGTCAGAATGAGGTCAGCGAACACACTACTCTCTTCTCCCTTGGCCTCTTCCTTTCCCTCCTTCTCTCTGTCCTTTCAGAGCACCGGAGGAATAAGGTCACTGGAGCGTCCCGGAGACACTCGTGCATCTTTTCGCTTGCTCCAATTTGCAGAAACCTAGAGACGTTTCGCATCCCGGCGGGCACGTTGCCGATTGTGCAATAACGCAAAAGTACTGTAGCAGTCGGAACAAAAACAATGGGGGAGATTCGACACGGGAACACCTTGTGTGTTTTCTGCAACGAGCCGCAGCGTGAAATCATTTGACACCCCGCTGATCTGCCGAGTCCGTCCCGGGACACAAAAGCCAGCTTCTGAGACGTAAAGGAGTTCCCGTGTATCGTATGTTTTAGAGCCGAGGAAGCGGCCGATCTCGCTCCCAGAGGCGCTGGTGGTGGACCGCGTCGTGTCTGGAACACTGAAACAGGATCTCCAGAGAGGAGCACAAAATGGGGGCTTTGTGTCCAAGATTTGTCCAGACAAAGCCAGATAAGGAAATCCAACAAGGGCTTGAGCAGGGAGCTGTCTCTCTGTGACTCTGTGGAAAAAAAAAAAAAAGTAGCCTTTAATGTAGGCCATGCATAACCATCAGTAATTATATTAGTGCTGATAGCTGTAATAAAGACAAGATTAATTTGGTTGGATTTGGTTTTGTTTTTACAGTAGACCCAGATTTTTCGAATCACACAATTCTCCGTTGACATCTGCGAATGTTAAGCTTTCAGATGGGAACTCTGAGCAGAGTCAGCGACGGCCACTGTGCATTCTTAAAACTGAGAATGTTTTGGTTCGAGCCTGCACTCCTGATGAGACTTGTCCACAAAACCTGCAAAACTATCTGGAGAAGCAGTTTAGTGGAAGGCCTCCGTTCTTCCTCGTTGAAATACGTCCAAAATTACCAAAAATGATCTCGGTGGCTGAAATGAGCTTCCTCCTTACAGTGGCTGGACTCTGAGGCGAGGAACTCCGTCATCTGGTCGGAGTTTGGAGTCGTCTGAGATGGTTTGAGCGTCTCGGCAGGCTCAAGGGGGGAACATTGAACTCAACAGAGAGATAGGAAGACCTTTAGATCCCGTAGAATGAGCTGGAGCAAGAGGGATCGTTGATAATCAAATTTAAAAATATATTTTTAAACTTTTTAGCCCTAAACTGAGCGCAGGCGATTCAGGCAAATTTGCAGTACCGTAATTCCGCCACACTTGGTGCTATCTGAAAACTTCCAACCGTTTCTGAAAGGGGAGATGTTTCGCTTTCCAGGCAGCATCGGGTTATTTACGCCGTAGCAGGGAGTGAAATTAATCTGAGAGGCGCTCTTTTAATAGACGGTAAATTGTGAAATTAACTTGCTAGATGTTGAAAGTCCCAGTTGTTATGGAGAAATGGGCAAATATATATTTAGTCACAGAACATTTAAAGAACTGTGTATAATTAAAATAGGCAAAAATATTTAGGACATAAAAGCTATAAAGCTATCTTTTTTATTAAAGCAATCACAATTTTACTTTATTTTTAGGTTTTAGAGTAAAGAGAAACATAAAACCTAAAATAAAGGTTTGTTTTCTTCTATCTGAACTATTCTGAAAACACAGAAAAACTGCTAAAACGAACCGTCGCCACGCGCGCCTTCAGTTCCCTCCGTCTGCAGACGCCACGTCAAAATATTTTCCAAAGTTCCTGTTTGCAGATGCTCCTCTAAGCAGATGATTTTCTGCTGATGATGAGCTCTCACAGCTGTAAATAAACTTCTGTCAGCGAGACCTGTTAGGTTTCATCATCTTTTGCAGCAGCAGCAACAAGCCGTTCCTGGGTGGAAACGGCGTCGTGCAGGTCAGCGGAGAACTCGCAGAGCACCGCTGCTCTTAGCAACGCTCACCCTCGCTTGTTTGCAGTCAGCGTTCCCACAATATCTCCCTTGCTGGTCTGTCGTAAAAAATCTTAACAAGAGAGGACGATAAATGTGGGAAAACCATGGAAAAGTCTCCTCGAAAAGCTCAGTGCAGATGCTTCGGACATTTCTGTTCTCACACGCCGCTGCTCCGGAACATTCCTAAAACGTTTTATCACTGCAGCACATGTGTGAAAATCGCTTTAGTCAGTAAAATTTTTCCCCTCTTGCGATTGAGGTTAAGGGTTAAGCAGTAATTATCTAGATTTATGATATCAAAGGATTTTTCTTTTTTACCCTTAAAGGAGAATACCTTATTTAACTCCACTTCCATGACAAAATTTGGACACTTCTGCCTCAAAAAGAGAGAAAATACGGCGACTTAAATCTGATTGCGAGGCATAAAAGTGGTCGTTCTGATGCTAAAAGCAACGTTTTAGCAACATTTGAGGATCCTGCTACCAGTAGCAACATATTCATGTAAAAATATCTATTTATAAGAAGTAAAAACATATTTTTTTTTGCCATGCAACTGAATGGTGGGTGAAAACGAAGGTGTTTGGCGCGCAGATGGCAGAACAATTTCAGCAGCTAAAAGCGTCGAATTTTCACAGAACCTCCTCCACACGTTCCTGCTTTATTTAACACGTGGCTTGCCCATATGAACCGAGTGGTTAAGCGAACACCCTGATTACAGCGGTGGCCTGACGGAGCCTAATTCTCTTAAGAGTAATAATAAGTCCCGTATATGTCCGCTCATAACTGCGACAGGCCCCCGAGGCTGCATTTGTCTGCCTAACGGTCTCTGCGGAGTGGGCTCTCTGCACGGGACCACATGTGTCTGCAGACCAGAAAACGCTGAAGCCATTACTTGTGAAATTGAAAGCAGGAACCAGTAACAGCAGCAGAAAGAGACAGTTTTGACTGAGCTTTCGGAGGAGAGGAGAGGAGAGGAGAGGAGAGGAGAGGAGAGGAGAGGTTAGAAGAAAAGCCCCCCCGTCAGATGGTTGTGCTCAAGCTGACTTGTTGACTGCAGCAGGCTGCAGACGATTTAGGTCTACTTGTCATTTCGACGACCCCTCCCTGTCACGACCTCTCTGCGATGACGCTCGGCGACGACTCACCGTTTCCAATTTGTTATCGCGTTTCCATGTGCATCTGGTTATGGCCGAGGAGAGCCTTCAGTTTTATGGATGCTGTGATAATTCAGAGAACGCCGTTTGGCCATGAAGGATTTAGAGAGTGCAAAATAGAAAAATTGTGGGATTTTTTTCTATGTATTTTTCCTGCCGTCAGAGAAACGGCGCTGTCAGTAATACAAGGTTCTGACATTCTCAAGTCTTTAAAAACCCTTAAAAATTACAAAATTTGATTCAGATCATTTCAAGATCTGAATAGAAGCATTTCATCACTTTTTCTGTTCTGCTTTTTGCAATTAAATTGTCTCAATATATTTCTAAATGTGAACAGACGAGATCGCTGTCTCTTTTGACTTCGCCAGAAGTGTGAAATTTATTTACTGGTTGAACCACAACAACAACCAACTTTAGCCAGAGACTCCTCCCTGACTAGATAAAAAAAAAAAATCAGAATCTCTTAAAGAGACAGTAACCCTCGAACATAATGCACCAGTTTGGAAATAAACACAGTCTGCAAAAACATTGAAAAGCGTAAAATGTACCTTTAATGCGTCCTTTAAAATATAGTGTGAGTGGTTTCAACCGGACCATCCATCTATGCATCGATCCGTCCCTACGTCCGTTCATCCAACCATATTTAAAGCCTGAGAAGTGCAGAAATATCAGCCATAAACATGTATTTAAATGTTAGTCTTGCTTTTCAAGAAGAAGAAATAATGGATTTTGAGTGTAGAAAAGTGTCGACTTTTTAAATGAAGAATGCATTTCAAACCTTGATTAATATCGAGCTACTTGCGTTAAAGTAAAAACAATCATCCTTTCAGCCCAGATTTGCTGCTTCACTTTCCAGTTTTCCTGTTAGCAGGAACCAAATGCATCTATTGCATTAGTTCGGGTTATTGTTTTACATGCCTCACACATGATGCATTGTGATTGTCGGTAATTTATGTGCCACACGTGACGATTTATAGAAAATATGCTTTTTTTCCCCCCCCCTTTCAGAAGTTCTCATGCTTCAGACAGCTGGTTGGTTTTAATAGTGATCAGTTGCCTGTTTTTGTACACATGTACATGTGCGTCCAGGTTTTACTGTATATTTGTCATCTGTTCTGAATTTTCCTCCACAGCGATTCACTTGGAACAAGCTAATGCCTCTGGTTTTTAGTATGATCTCAATGCGGTTCGTGTAACAAAAAGGGGGTCGCTTTCTCGTCTCGCTGCCTTAAAGGTGGGGCTCGGCGCTGTTGTCGGGTGTTTATTTCTTTATTTGGTCGGGCGGCGGGTGTTTCCCCGGATAAGGGCCCGCGGAGAAGACTTATCTTCAAGCGCGCGTCTGTCATCTGCTGCTGCAGACAGAGAGCTCTTTCATTCGCTCTGGTGAAAGAGGGTTCATACAGATTTAAGGGCCAGCATTGTTTGTGCTCTGCGATGTTTAATCACTTTTGCTTGGACACCATATTAAAAACTTGGGCTCTGGATGGGTAGAGAGGCTCTTCGTCGAAAACAATTGGGTGGTGTTCTACAAAAACGGGGAGAGAAAAGAAGCGCCGCAGCCGCCGCCTCACAGGGTGGGTGACGAGGACAAAGGCACATCGTCGGGGTGAAGCCAAGAAGCAGATCAGATCGGATAAGATCCTGAACGTTACTTGCTGATATTGAATTTTGTACTTTTAAAATGTTCCTGCTTTAAACCCTCTTAGAGGTCCTGCAGCTTTGTCTCCAGTTTCTCATGTTTTATTTACTTTCAAGAGTAAGATGGTGGCTTATTCCTACTTGACTTTCCCACACCGCCTCCCTTCCCCTTGCACTTTATTTCACTTTAGCCACTGATTACGCGTAGTGTTTACATATTCCATAGAGCTCTGTGACAGAGATAAACCTCTCCTGATGCTTATCCCCTGGCCACAATGTGGAAACCACTAAGATATAATGTAAACCAAACGTCGCAGCTGCCCTTTCATGTCTCAAGTGCCAGTTTGACTCGCTGAGCGAGATATTCTTGAGGACTTGGATCTAAGTGATATTAGTTGCCGTAACTCTAAGGCCGTCATGTTTTCTTCCGTCTTTTAGTAACCTTGCAGAGCTGTATTTATGAGTCTTTTCTCATAAAGTCACTGCTTGTGTGAGAGACATTCTTGCTCGGCTTTGTCATTTGCGAAACGTTAACGCTAAGCAGTGGGAGTGACTATTTCTGATATGAAATGTGATTAACGAACCCTGCATCGACGCTCCCCATAAATTTGGTTGTAGGATTATACTGAGGGGCTGCGCTCGGAGGACTCCTTGGCATTAATTGGCCCGACTCTCCCGTGGCTAAGAGTATTGCTCTCACTCTACTCAGCAGACTGCGGTTTGTGTGTGTTATCACTCTTGAGGTCCTTCGCAGTAAATGTGTCACAGGCAAATTGCGTCGGTCTAATAATACCCTTGCATCGTCTCACGTTGCAGAGCTTCTTGGGCTCCGGGCTCTCAGGACTCGCTCCTGGAAAAGTCCCTGCAGTCAGCAGCGAAGTTCAACTCCTGAAACTAAAAATGCTTTTGAAATGTTTCCACTGCGGTGCCCGGTGTGAACAAAAGGTCAAGACGAGAATCCCTGGTTGCTCATCCACCCTCGGTGTGGTCTGCACCTCGATCCTTACGATTTGTGCTTTCACAATGAAGGTCGGGCAAAAGATATTTTATGGTTACCCTTCTAATAATCAACAGTGCGAGCTGTATTTGCTTTTTCAAAATAGTTACACACAAAAAATGTCTATTTTGAAATATTCTTTTATTTTGCTGAGTTATCTTTCCTTGTCAATAAATCAAAGCAATAATAATAAAAGTTTTAAGTAAAACATATGTTTCTGTCAGTATTTGGTTTGATATATGACTTTTGGTATTAGTGTTGGTTTTTTTAAATAAAAAGTTACTTGCATTAACCATAAGGCACTAATCATAAATGCAGTTTCTGCTAACGCTAATGCTAATTTCTATTAGCAAACCCTTATGAAAGATGGGAAGTGATGATCCCTTGTCAAACCAAAACAACTCTCATTAACCAATTGGTGGTAAATATTTTCTGTGCGAATCCTCAGCTGTCACTTAAATTGAAGTGGCTCCAATTTAATGTAAGATTTGTCTTTTTTACCCCAAAAGCATCTGTTATAAAATGACAGAAATGGTAAAGAGTTTGGACTACTTACTAATACCTTTCATTTAAACCAACACACTGTGTTTTTATTGGAGCTCTGTAAATAAATTTGTCAACACCAGATAGTCATCAGCATACAATGCAATTTGTTTTTGATTCTAAAGAAACATACATTTGAGTAGAATAGTTGTAATTGTTTTTTACTAAGAATTTAATGGATATTTTTAAAATGACCTCTAAAGATAAAATAAAAAAAAATTACATCAAAGGTCAGACGTATGAAGGCAGTTGGCTCTGTTTGTGAAAAAAAGTCAGGAATGACAAAACTGTAAAAGTATGAAATGATACAAAGCTGAAATCACCTGATAACTTTTAAGTAAACGACACAAAGTGTTTTTGTCAGAGTTCAGATGTTTAAGCAACATTAAAACAATACTTTAGGTACTACTCTAGAATACATCAAACTAGATGTTCTGCTAGCGGAAAAATGGTGACAGTCAGTTTATAAGTAGTGAAGTATAATATATTTTCCTTACTTTTTAAAGAAGGCCAACAATAACAACAAACAGTGCATCAAACCAGATGTTATTCTCCTTTACTGATTAGATGTTGTTTTATTCGGGCGCTAAAGTTACCCAACAAACCAGCCAGTCCAGATTTTTTGACTAAAGATATTTGTGTATCTGTCTTAGTCTTAGTTTAGCCAAACAAATAAAAATAAAAATTACAAAAAATGGTGCAGTTTCTTGAATAGCCGCAGTAGTTTTGAGTCCAACAGAAAACCAATTTACTTTCTAATCTGTCTAATTTTCATTTAATTTGAAACAATGTGCATTCAAGAAAAGGTTTTATATTGATGCATTTTCAGGCATGAGACAAGTGGAAGTTTCTAGCGTTGGTGTATTTAATGAAGAGTGCTCATGACTTGACCTGTCACCGGTCAGAACCGGTTAATGGAGTTGTGTATCACTAGTTAAAGTCTGACAATAAAACGCTGCGGGTAGCATTTTAATTCTTTTTTTTTTTTTTTCTCAATGCAGCGCCCAAAAATGTCCATTTTTAAAGGAGGCCAGGTCACCATAACAACGTCCCCTACACTCGACTTTCATCTGCAAACTGTAGAAATAGAGCAAAGTGTCTGATGGATGGGGTGAAATATCTTTGGTATTTACAGCTAGGCAGGCATGTGAACCACTGCAGAGCGTTTACTGGAAGGAGGCTCATAGTTGGGATGCATAACCAACTAAACAAACAAACAAAAAATAAAAGGGTAAAGGGCTCAAACAATCACTACGGGAACTGATGTCCTCTTTAAAAAGATGTGCTCTGTCAGGTTGAGCCAGTTCGTTTTCTATTCTGACTGTTGTTGTTTTTTTTTTTTTTTAAGCCACAGATCCACGCAGCTTTGACAGACTCGTGGCCTGTTATTGAGCTCCAAGAAGCTAAAAGTAATCCACCAAGCTGGAGCTCATCCCTCTTAATTTGTTTGCCCGCTTTACATCCACTGAGATGTTCTCCAGCTCCATCTAAGCCATCACGTTGACAACCCCAAGCGGCGTCTAATGCTCCGATTGATTCTCCTCTATAGCTGCTTTGATGCTGCTCTTTTATTGTGTCGGATGCGGCGGTATTTTTTCCCCGCCTCCTCTTGTTTACGAAAGCGCCTCCGATGGTGTAAAAGCGGAAAGTTGCACTCTGAAGCTTGGCCACTCGGGGAACCGCTTTTGTAACCGGCGAAGGCGCTTCGTCTGGCGCTCCTCTGGAAATTAACCAAGATGTTTTAACAACGGCAAACCAGTTTCCTTCAATCCGCGGCGTTAAATCACATCTCGAGGTTATTTGTCTAAAAGCAGGCCTGAGTTGCTGAAAAGCAGAGCAGTTGTTCTGTTTTACGAGGCGCTAATGACCTGCCAATTCAAGAGCAAAGGCAGAGTGACCAGTTCATTATGTCTAGTGTTTACTACCTGTTGCCCTTTGACCCCTGTTTGAAGCACAATCCTGATTGTTGTTTTAGCCGTTAGAGTGTTTGATTCTTTTCTGCCGTCTTGGCTCTGAAGTGGCGGTTTAGCATGACAGCTGCTGATCTGATGAGATCCACAGAGAGGCCATGATAACAGCCAGGGTTTGGCTTCTGTCCTGTTTGCAGATAAAAAGCGCACGCCTCTAAAAGGTCTGGGCTTTATGACTCAACACCTCTGGCACAAACTCAACAATAGAAAGACTCTGTGTGCTTGCAGAGATGCACATTGTCCTGCAGAAGTATGCACACTGCAAGTAAATCATCACAGTCGTGTTGCAACAACAAACTGCAATGCATTTTATTGGCGTTAGCACCGACTCCAAGACACGGCTGTTCAAGGGAGCATCAGAAAGAGAAGCACTGTAGGTGTGGGGCAGCTATGGAGGAGCTGCAGAGATCCTCGGCTCAGGCGTGAGAATCTGCTGACAGCAAGAAGAAAACAATGTAGGGAACGAAAAGGTGTGGTGGAACCCAAACACACCATCAGTTCAGACAAAGTGTACTAATGTGTCAGAGTGGTCTAGTCAAAGTCTACACCATAATCCAAATGAGTGCTTGTGGCAAAACTTGAAAAGTCGACGTCCGATTCTGACTTCACTTGGACTAATTAGCAAAAGTTTCAAACTGCAGAAGATCTGGAGGCTAAAGAGTCTGACAAATGCACGCCACACTTTTCAAATTTTTATTTGCAAAGAAATCTTGAGAGTTACTTGTCAATGTTTCATCTGATTAAACAACTACAGACAACTTTATGTTGGTCTGTCAAATAAAATGCTGCTAAAATACATCCAAGTTCCTGGCTGTAACTTAAGACAATGTAGAGAAAAGAGCGCACGCGGCGTTGCCGGGAGAGTCCTCTGGCTGCGTATCGTTCAATCAGCTAACAGCCTCACGTCCTCCACATCGTCTGATGTGTTTACTGGGGCCTTGTTGTCTTTATCATTTCCTCTGGCGATACGGGTGTAAATGGCGGCGGATAAACCGAGAGGTGATTTAGTGTTCGGGTCTGGATGCGGTGAGCTCTGGCGGCCGGCTTCCTACCTTTGTGTGGCGGGGAGCAGTGGGGGTGGGTGGAACGGGTTAGGGGGGTGTGGAGGCGCGGTAGCGGATATGCGGCCCGAGCGCCTCCGAGGAGGGAAGGAAACCGGGAGTCAAAGGTGATCGCATGCTGCTCCTGTTATTTGAGCCTGCTGAAACCGGCTTAATGGATTAGATATAAAACGTTCTGCTGCGTGTTATTAATTATTGCAGCATCCAGTGGTGACCCTGTTGCACGTGGGCTGCTGCTGCCGCCGCCGCTGCAGCTGCAGCTGCAGCTGCATGCCTCCGTCCTCCCGCTCCTCTCTTCACACAGGCCTCTCCTGTAACCTTGAGAGAAGCCTGCTCAGGCCCCCTGAGTTCAACGAGTGCATGAGGCATATTTTCGCTGAGCATGCTCGGACCGCCCTCTCTAAACCCCCCGACCCCCCGCCACTAACTCACTCGCTCTCCCCCCCCCTCCCTCCCTTCCTCCTCGCCATACATACAAGCGTTTTCCCTCCTAAAGAGGACTCCCTGTAGGCCTCGCCTTTCAGAGCGCCTGCAAAGGAAATACATTATGTGTAAAAAGATTTCCATATGGTGTCATACGATCTGTGTAATTCCCCCTCGATTGATAAAAAAAAAAAAAAAAAAAAAAACTTACCTTGTACGCACAATCAACCCTTTGTTCAGCTCCTGGGCTGAATGTGCTGACCTGAAATGCTAAAAACACTGTAAACTGCATTGCACTAAATGCTCGACAGTGATGTCTTTTTTAATTAAAAAGCACAAACTGAGCACGAGCGAGCCAAACCAGCTCAACCGGAACGCGCAGATATAAATAAATCGCTTCCTTCTCCCTCGGTAAATACCTGAGAGTCAGTTGCAGCCAGTTTTTTTAAGGAGGAGTGGCTGACATCAGCTGTTGGAGTTTACAGGAAGGCCTGCACGCATGTATGCCTGTCTTGGCTGACGATTTGGAGTTGGAGTGTGTGTGTGTGTGTGTGCGTGCGTGTGTGTGGGGGTGTTTTGGGGTGAAGAGTCTGCGGCAATCCTACGGGCAGGCTGTTCCAGGTGAGCCCTGCCAAGTTCAAGTGGCTTGGACCAAGCCCTGCGCCACAGAACGGGAAGTGTTCCTGCAGGCGCTGCCAACCTCTGCGAGAGCTGCGACTGTCAGTGTCAGCGAGGAGATAGTGTTTTCTACAAGCACACGCACATTCAGAGAGAGAGAGAGAGGAAAAAAAAAAAAAAGTTTGGCAAGGATGCATGTATATATGTAGATGCTTGCCAGGAGGGGGATTACTGGAGTTTGCTCCAGTGGTGGCCCTTTGATGTTCCTTCCAGTTCCCATGATGCAACAGTCTGGCGAGGACGAGAAGATTATTTTTATGACCTTTAAACAGATTGCGCATCAAATTCTGTGCAATTACGATTTGAAATCTCAGAGATCCTTTAACTACAGGTCCGTTTTTTTTTTTTTTCCCCCCCACGAGGCCGTTTGTTTCTACGAACGAAGGCAGAAGGTTTTCACACCTCTTGAACTCTTCCACACTTTTTTGCTCTGCAGCCACTAATGTCAGTGTACTTTCATGGGATGATTTTATGTGCTAGATAAACACATACTAGCATAAAGTGGACCGGGAACAAAACTTGGGTTTTCAAAATTTATTACGAATAGCAAGTGTTAAATACCCTTTACTCTAATATTCCTAAATAAAATCCAGTACAGCTTGCCTTCTGTAGTCACCTAATAAATAAATAGTTCCCATGTGTGAAATTTAATCTTATTCAGCTACTCTGAGAGGTTTTCTACAGAACTTTAGAGAACAAACAGAATCATGAAGACTGAGGAACACGTTAGACAGACTGGAGATGAAGGTGTAGAGAAATTTAATGCAGAATTAAGTCATAAAATAATATCCCAGACTTGGAACATCTAATAGAGCCACTATTAAGAAGCGGCTGTTCACCCTAAATTGAAAGAACAGGGATGGAGAGGATTAATTAAAAGCAGCCAAAAGGTTCTTGATAACTCTGGATGAGCTGCAGAGATCCACTGCTCAGGTAGAAAGCTGTTGTTGGCAAAAAAAATTTAAAAAAAAAAGAGGTTTTTCACATGGCATGTAGCAAAGAATATGAGTTGCTTAAAGTGATAAAATGTGGAAAACAGTGAAAAACTGGAAAACGTTGGTGGCAGCGTCACGCTGTAGGGATGTTTCTCCTTAGCTGAGTTGATGCGCAGATGGATGGAGCCAAGTACGGGACAATCCTGGAGGAAAATCTGCTAGAAGCCGTAAGAGCAGCTGGAAAACCACCGTAAATATCAGAAGTTTTTGCACACAATCAAGGAATTTGACTTAAGTTCACTTCTGCTGTCAATGAAGACATACAAAAATGTATAAAAGGCAAATAAATAAATAAAAAACAAGTTTTTTCTGCAGAGATGATAGCTGCCTTTTTCTTGACCCTGGACCTTTGTAAGTCCTGGAAACATACAGCCAGAGCTACAACAGATCAAATTATATTTGGGTTACAGTGGTCCAGTCAAAGTCTAGACCTCAATCCAATTAGGAACCTGTGAAAAACAAAAACTAGCGTTAAAATTTACAGTTGCTTTCTGTCCAGTCTGATTGAGCCAGAGCTCCTTTTCGAAGAAGAATCTGCCGAAACTTGAGCATCCTGCATGTGCAGAGCTGGCTGAGAGACTCGCCTGCAGACGTGCAGCAGCGTTTGCCGTTTCAGGGGGTTCTAGTATCGACATGCGGTACATTGATGTTTGTGCAGACGGTCAGTGGGATATTTTTATGCAGCTGAACCAGTATCCCTGGGGGGTGAGAGGGAATTCAGACGGGGGCAGCTTTTCCATGAATTTGTTCCTTTAAGCTCAGAGATGATCCTCCCAGAAACATGAAACATAAACAGAGCGTTCCTGTCGGCTCTGCTCGCCTTCCTGAGCTGAACCAAGGCAGAACAGGAACTACCTCAGCTATCCTGCAGCCCGCCCACTCTCTCCCACCCCAACCCCCCATAGCCCCTGATCTCCATGGGTGAACTCTTGGCATCTCCGATAAAGTGAAAGCAACGCTCTCTGATTGTTGGAGGATGGCTGCAGGGCGGGTGTGAAATCCCCCACGATGCGTCCCCGAGTGGACAAATCTTAGCATACCGAGGAAGTGGAGGAAGGCTTATTGGGGTGTGGGGGTTGTTGCAAGGAAAAGCGGCATGAGGGGAATTCCTGTTCCCGAACCGATGGAAAAAGTGACTGCTGGGCTTCGCTCAAGCGGCTCTGTGTCAAAACAGCCGAGCGCTGCCGTCATCTGTGCAAATATTTCAAGAGATTATAGTTCGGGAGCCGCGTGGGAAAAAAGCTGCAGCAGCAACAGAGCAGCGAGATTTAGGACAGAGAACCCTTCTCATCTGAGCATTATCAGGCCAACAACAAAAAATAAATAAATAAAATATGCAAAATGCAAGGTGCATGGACATGAACGCAATCCTGCCTGGCAAGGGTTGATCATCATCCTAAAGTCTTTTGGCAACCACCCAGAAAAAAAAATAATAAAGTCAAAACCAAACACATTTAAATTGTTGGCTGGAAAGCCACCAGGCATATCTTCTTGCCTTCTGCACTCCTCTCATTACAGTTTCACTTTTGAACATTGTGCAATGTCAGAAGTTCTTATGAATGGCTACCTTTGTTAACCAAATTTGAATGTACTTTTTTCCTCCCCTACATAATCTCCCTTTGACATAATGCTGTGGCACTGTTTTAAACACATTGTGTGGAAACACCTTGACGGCGGCATTAAACTGGCTGCAATAAGCTGCTGATGTAATGTTTTCAAACCGTTCAGTGGCCTGCTCTGTGGATGCCATTGTTTATGACTCCCAAACAACAAAATGTGAAATTAATTTAGCGCCTCTCTTCTTCCCACTGCAAGCTGGCGCTGTGCAGCCAAACCACATGTTGTTACTTCCCCCAGCAAGCCCTGGTAGCAGAGAAAGGATTTGTGGATTTGTTGTCTGCGTCTTTTTTTAATTTATTTATTTATTTGCCATGAATGTGGGATATAGTTTCCCCAGTTTAGACGTGAGCATCTTGAGTCAGGTCAAAGCTTGCTGGTGCGCTATAACACAATGCCAAGCTGGAAAGACATCAGCTCCGCGTCTTGTAGGAGTTTCCAAATAGTTGGAAGGTCGACATTTAAGATGGTGTTGAATCTTCTCAGAAGTAGATGTCATAAGGTTAGACCAAGCAAAAGCCCCCACACGCTCAGATTCAGACTTTTAGCATCTTGCTTAGCTTGTTAAATCTCAAAGTTCATAACAGTGTACTTAGAAAAAGGCTGGACAAGAATTACTTGTTTAGAAATGTTGCCTCTTTTCTCTAGAAGTCAAATTTGCATAAAGACTACTAGAACAATGTTCTTTGAACAGATGAGCTGTTCTGCCTGAACAAACAAAAAAAAAAGAACATAACACAGCATGTCAGCACTAACACTTCATAGCACCTGTCTGCTACAGCAGTGGAGGAATGATGATCAGGGCTGGTTTGGCAGCAACAGAACATGAATGTCTTGAAGCCATTGAGTTCAACGAGTTGACTGAGCCGACATCAAGAATTATGTAAGATGTTAAATCATCTTAGTTTTTTCCATTTTGGATGAAGTAATGGTAGCGCGGATTCTGCTGTGTGCTTTTGTGCACTTGAGGGCAGTTGAGGAAACTTTTAAAGACCAGATCATTTCTGGTATTTACTAATATACGAAATGCAGCGGTTGGCACACTCCTGCTAATCTGCTAATGTGCTTGTAGCGGAGCTGATTTTTCATTTGGCATTTTAGAGTGCTCTAACTTTGGAAAAGTTTAGCGCACTTAGCTTCCCCTAATTTCTAAAGCACTAATTTACCAGACAGTTTTGTAAACTTTCAATTGGATAAAGTTCGACATCTGCGTTAAAGTCGTGGCTTAAATAAACTTACAATGGTTGGCTTTTGTAATGACGCTCCTGTTTTGACTGTCTGTACATCGGCTCTGCTTCCACATGGCTAGCGTTTTAGTTGATTACAACCTTCAAACTAAAAGCGAGTGCACTTTCCTTTTGCAGCGAGGGATGTTTTGCTGAAAGACGCAGTCTGTTGACTGTACACCTTTGTTGCTGTTGCCAGGATGTCTCCAGTCAGTCAGAGGATCCACAAGGAAAGAAGGAGCTCTGCTGTCTTTGGAGGACTGCCAGTGGCGTGACCTTGTGACAGGCACGGCGCCACCGGCCCGTCTCGGGTTACGTTAGAATCTGCTTGACGGCACCGTTTTATTACCGACTGGCATCAGACTCACCAAATAAGCATCTACCTGGTGCATGGACTCCAGATGTTTTCATGAAATCGCTCTTTTAGTTTGCCTTAAAGAGCAAAAAAAAAAAAAAAAAAACTTCATTCGGGGGTCTTGTGCCAGCGGAGACACCACCAGGCTCCACTCTCCCCCCGAATGAACCCTCCTGCCCCACAGCCTCTCTCCCCTCGAATGCTTTGATTTGGGCCAGCTCCGACGGGGGCCTCTGAAAGCCCTGTCTCCAGGCTCATTAACAGGAAAGGAGGGGTTTTACTAGCCATGCGGCATGCAGCCGGCTTTTAAACCACCAACCAGCTGAACAGCTTACAGCCTCAGGAGTTAGCACAGCTTTCCATCATTACTGGACCCTTCCAGGTAAGGAGTTGGGGGGGGGGGAAATGTGGACATTATTAGGTACTATAAGACCAGCTTTCTTACCCCCAAGTAAATGAGATTGCGTTTTAATCTGAACAATCTGATCGAAAGTTCATATCCCGCTTTCGGTTCTTGGCAGAATAAAGTCCGCAGTAAACGCATTGAAATTTGATACCCAGCTTGATGCATGTTTGCGTACTAAATGAGAAGAAATGATGATACAGCAGCACAGGAGCATGGATAGTAAAGAAGAAAGCACCATTTGCACCTGCTGCTTCATTCCCTACTGGAGTTGTAATGGCAAAAATAAACTGGCTCGACATCTGTTGGCAACGTCAGTAGTCTGTTTTTATGCTTGTAATGACACATTAAACTCTGTGGTTGATTCCCCCCCACAAACGCACACACACACACACACACACACACACACACACACCCCTCCACCTCCTTCTCGAGTCTATATCCCGTTCCAGAGAAACAGTGCCAGTAAAATTGTCCGAATGAGTGCACGCTTTGTTTTCTTTGTCTGTTTCGAGCCAAGATTTGGTCTTAGATGTGGTGGCGTTCTACGATCGCATAATTCCTTCCATGTAGCCAAGCTTAAAGGTGTGCGTGGGCGTGTGTGTTTGTGTGCGTTGCGCTGCTGCTGCTGCCGCTCGCTTGGCACGGCTCTGAGAGCGCAAACAGCGGCGATGGGTGGCAGGGATCCTCGGTGGCCTGAAGCCCAGCTGGAGGAGAGCCATTTTTTTTTTTTTTTTGCCCTGAGTGGGAGCGCCCGGTCGGTCGTGGCCAGTGGGAAGTCCTCTTGGCTGAGGCTTGACACAGTCGTGAGCTCTGACAATCAGTGACACATCACAGGCGGAGGTTGATCAGCTCCAGTGTGACGCAAGCACAAGCTATGAGACCTTGTCTTTGAACTTGGCCCATAATCTAAAGGGATTTTCGTCTGCGGCTATAAGTGAAAGCTACTAACAACCTGTCTTTCCACTGTTCTTAGTTCAGTGTTTATTCAACTGCAGGATGCAGGCTGCATGCTGGTGGTGTGTTGGTGCTGTTGCCTTTCAGCAAGAAGGTCCTGAGGTTGAATCTTTTACACATGGTGTTTGTTCCCCCCCAAAAAGTTGCACTTTTTTAACCGTGTTTTGCATCGACAATCTGCCGATTGTTGTACCCAACCTTTCACCCTTTTCACAGTTAGACCAGACATCAGAGCCCCCCCAGGAATTGAGGACGTAAAGCGACTAAATGGATCGCCATCATTGATTTTCAGTATAATTTCAAATGATCTACAGTTGCGTTTCTGCAGACATGCTTGTTGAAAGCTATCGGGACTTGTGACTGGTGTGAGATAAAGTGGTAGATAAAGCAGCCTCGGCTAAACGTTCCTCCTTATCAGTGCCAAGCAAAGCACAGTTAAACACACTGAACACCTTTCTGGGCCTGAGTTCATTCCAACTTAAATAGTTACTAATATGTTGTTTTACGTATTAAAGACTCATTGCGGTGCAACAGTCTTGAGGCATCCCCAAGATTTTGATATTTTGCTTTGAAAGGTCTTGAATCTCTTGTCTTTTAAAGCAGTTCAGATCGTAGGTTTTCTAAAGGTCTTCTCTGGACTTTGGCTTCTTTTTTCACTCTCTTGCTGTTTGTTGGAAGTTTGACTGATCTGTCAGTTTATACTCAACACGTCTCCTAAACCAAAGGGATGAATCTGTGGTGTTTCTGCACATACCAGGCAGCTAAGCAACAGGCTTTTAAACTGGATTTTTAGGCTCTATGTTACCCATTTCACTCACAAATTCACAATTTGCTCCAGTTTATTTGGGGTAATATTTAATAAAAGAGCAGCTTAATAGACCTAAAATTGTGTTTTAGCCAAAATAAGGCAATTCCCTGTTTTAAAAGACCAGAAAGAGTCCAAGAAAGTCTGGATGGTTTAATACTTTTGCATGGAACTGGTTGTTTGTAAACCATATTTATTTCATGCATTGTGTATCCAAAGAGGCAGCGTGAAAGTATTCAGTGAAAGTCCTGCTGTCCTTGTTAGCATCGCCACCGGTTTGCCCCTGATCTATGATCTACGGACCAACTTTTCTCTCCTGGGAGAGCAGGGAAATTCCCAGACCCCAGATATCCCCCTCCTCTCTCCTCGCCATCCCTCATTCCTCCTGTCCCCCCCTCCCTCCAGACCAGTCGAGACGTGCAGGTTTGAACCCTCTCTCTGTGTTTCTGGCCTCCAATGCCCATTGCCACTCAAGCAGCAGGGGTCCGGTGCATTTGTCTCATAATTATCCGACTGGACAGGGGGGTTTCTCTGAAGATGAAAGAGGCGAATCACAGAGCTCCTCTGTCAAAGGTCTGTCTAGCTGACTGGGCGGGTGGTTGGTGGGGGAAACGGGACGGGGCGGGACAAGGGGGTGGGCTTGGATCTCTCTCCGCCGTCCTCTCTCATTCGTTGCTACCCACACACAAATCTCCTCAGAGCATAATCGCCAGCAGTGAACGCTCGTGCAAAGCCCACTCCCTTGTTTCAGCCACCCCACTGATTCATTCACAACTACAAAACTGCAGGAATACCCCCCACTCTCACATCCTGAGACTCCAGACCCCCCCATAAACTCCTCCCACCTTCATCTAGCCACCTACCTCACCCATTTGCCCACTCCCTCATCTGCCTCCTCTTGTCCCCTCCCCTCCCCTCCTCCACCTTTCTCCTTCTTCTCCTCTTAACTACTGGCTAGGAGTTAATGGACTGTTTTGGCTGGTCTCCAGACGGTGAGTGTCACCTCATTAGCCTATAGCGGCTCGCTCCCAGACTGCTGCCTGTATGTGTGTGTTTGTGTGTAGGAGGAGGACTACAACGACGGAATGTCATTGGTCTGCCCCCCCTGCACCCCTTCAACCACCCCTCGCCGTCGCTCCTTCCCACCGCTACAATGAATGGGAAAACACGCATGCATAATTAAATCCATAGTCTCATCCTCACTCCACCCGCCCTTCCCTCCTTCCTTTAAAAAAAAAAAAGAAATGCTCCTGCTTGGAAGTTTGCCACCAGGGGAGAAAAAAAAAAAGCTTGGAAGTAAGAGAGACGTGGCCAACCTCGCACCCTCGTACGGACCTTATTCCCTTTCATCCAGGCCCGCCGAATGGCAGGGTGGCAACAGCGGGCGAATGTAAATGCCAGCCGGTCCTGCCAGTCAATTACACTGCAACAAAGCTAATTGTTTGTTTGGTGCACACTGAAAAAAAAGAGAGAGAGAGAGAGAGAGAGAGAGAGGAAAAAAAAAAGATGCAAGTCTGGCTGTTGATGGGGCTTTTGTTTCAACACAGATGCAAAGTTCCTCTTTTTTTCTCACGGGCCAGACAAGACGCCGACTGAACGTGTGAATGGTGGGACCACACTTCAGTCGCTTACTCCTGGAAAACGTAAAGACGGATTAACGCGTGCACGCAGTTATTACATTCAAAACCAGGGAATTACTGGAGGATTTAGATAGATTTTATAAAATTAAATTAAAAGTTAAATTTCTCACAGCATCTGTTTAGCCCTGAGTACGATGATTTAAAGTTGACGGCGTCGGATCAACCTTTCAAAACTGCAGATTAGGTGTACCACAGGGTTCCATTTGCGGACCTCTGCTTTTCTGTTTCTATAAAATGTTCTTCCTCAAATCGCACCAAAACTGTCAGTGGTCTTTGTTTTGTTTGCAATCAAGTTATAGTTATTGAGTTGAATTTTCAAGTTGAATTTTAAGCGTCAAATTGTAAAAAAATGAATCCTAACTTCTTTTGTTTGACAAAATCATGTGTAAATGTAAAGGCTGCCCATTAAATTCGAAAGATCAGATTTTTTCTCACCCATCTCACTCTAAACTAAGCAGGAATATTTAAAGCCAACAAAGTGGCATCATCATAAAATCTGGAAAATGCAACACTTTAAGCACCTTCTCAGCTTTGGTGAGAATTAAAACAGCATCTTTATGCTCTTATCACTTTAAAAGGCAGCTAAATATAAAATTCTTGCATTTGAACTGTCTAAGTTGGTCCTCAAGAGGACTACTTTTATGTTTCAATGCAAATTGTGTGATATTATTAAGTGTAAATGTGTTTAAAACCCTCCAACTCCTGAACATGTCGACAATGACGCAGACAAATGTGCAGTACCGACATTCTGCCACACGTTGCGCTACCTGAAAAATCCCAACAGTTTCTGAAAGTGGACATGTTGCGCTTTCCAGCAAATATATTACAAATATATTACGGTAATTGCACCGCCGCCATAGCAGGAAGTGAAATCAATCTGACGGGCGCTCTTTTAATAGACGGTATATTGCGAAAATAAGTTTGTAGATGTCGAAAGTTCCAGTGTTGTTGATAAATGGGCAAATATATATTTACTCACAGGACATTTAAAGAACTGCGTGCAATTAAATTAAGCAAAAATATCCAGGTGGAGATTTGAAACTTTGGTCATAAAGGTTTAACTCTGCATTGTTTGGTCTTAAACCGTCTCAGTGCTGCCATCTGTGGGTCGACCGGTGACCGTCGCAGATGAATTTTCCTATTGGTTAAAACGACACGGCTCTGTTGACATTTTCGTCACTCGGCCCAGCGTTTGGGTATAAAACCATCTCACTTTGGCACACATTGATCGATAGCATTTCTAAACGTTTCACGTGTGATTTATCTGCAGTGTTTGCTGCAGGACGTCTGTGTGAGACCGGCTGCAGCACTGACGAAGCGATGGAGGCTTACAGCAACACTTGCTTCTCGCTCAGTCAGGACAGATGCTGCAGTTTTATTGTTGCTTTCATCGTCAACGTTTCCAGTAACAAAAAAATATATATTAAAAAAGTTGTGACTAGTTTCTTTTTTGAAAAAAGTCACTAGAAGCATCTGAAAAGTTGCTGGGCTTAAGTTTAGTGTTATTGCTGCCTTAAAATAACCTAAATGAGGGCTGAGTCTGCAAATTAGTTTTCTGCTAATAGCACAATGGTTGCTTTTATCTAAATGTAAGATTTTTTATGTTGTTTCTGATTAGATGCGTTTTAAAATGTGTAAAATTTACAGTATACCTAGTTAAGCTAAAAAAAAACCTGACTCACCCATTCAGATATATTCCAAAAAAACATTAAATTTAAAAGTTGCAATCATAAAACTTTATAAACTTGCATTTTATTGATAGAAATTCTAGATATGTTTTAAAAATATGCATAAAATATAAGTTTAACTCTGCTGTGTCCTGCTAAAGAGAAACGTTGGCTGTAAAAATGTAAAAAAAAAAGCCCAATGTTAGGTTTTAAAAGTCTTATTTGGAGTCACAAGCCGATGGGATTCAACCATAGTGAGGAAAACAATAATTTAAAGTAGCTTGAACAATAAAGCTTTAGAACTGAAGGCATAATATTAATAAAAGGAGACCCCCATCGCCCCCCCTTTAATACGGTCGTCAGGTTCTTGTGAAAGATCGCCCAGTTGGGGCAACAAGCTGAGAGCAAAGTGACAGGAACAGAAAGGGGAAAAAAGAAAGGAGTGTAATAAATAAGCGAAAGGAAAGACCACATTGTGAGAAAAGGGCAAACATAGCAGGAGCGGGAGGAGGTGGAAACATTAAGCGGGGGGCGCAGTGTGCTGACTGGAGACCAGCCTGCTCATTTTTCATCGGACAGATGAGCCACTGTGTCGCGTCGTGTCGCTGCGGTTTGTCTGCAGCCCGCTCGCCGACTGCCCTGCGCACGGCGGCTCTCCGCGGGGCGCCCGGTGCGTGCCTCTGTGTGCGCACACGTGTTCTGTATGTCACCGCGTGTACGTTTTTAATGCGCAAATGCAGCATGACTGCATGAATGGAGGCTGCCTTTGAGCGCCGGTGCAAACGATGCGCGCATCTGCTCAGAGGTGGGTAAACTTCACATCCTGGATTTTAAAAAAAAAAGGTGGGGAAGTTGAATTTGGGTGGATTAACCCTCATCTGCATCCTTGGTTTCCCGGCTTTGTCCTGGCCAGGTTTTTTTCCCCCCAGTCCTCGTCCCCGGGGCCGGTGGGGCTAATGATCTCCCGGGCCATTCAGCGTGCAATTCGGGGCCCACTCGCCGCAGAATGAGCTCCCTCCCCATCCGTGCTGCTTGGTGACCTCAATGAGGAGCCTGTTGTCCTCCTGGCTCAGTTAAAACGCTCGCCTCTTTTCACTGCCGTGAGAGTTTACGGAGGAGAAGACACGGCGACTCGGCGGGGGAAAGAAGAAAGAGGGCCCGCTCTTCGCCCGCATTAGTATGCGGCGATTAGAAACAAACACACACACACACAGACACATTGTGGGAGCAGAAGGCCCGAGCGTGCTCTTGTCGGCGGGACCAACATGGACGCCGAGAGATACAAGCGAGCTGGGTCACGCACAATCGACCGCGCTCGCACACAGCACTCTGGCCGGGTCCTCATTGTTCCCGTCTGGGCCCGGACCCCACTTGATTCCCCTCATCTTCAAACCCTGACAGACGCACCGAGTCTTGAGTGCGCCTTACAGAAAAAGAGCGCAACATTTAATTGTTTGCCCAGACATTTCAACTTTCCCCCTTCTCACCTTTTTTCCCTCCTTTTTCTGTCACGTTCATCTGCGTGTTTGTGGTTTTCTGTACCTGCCAGCGGTTATTTGACAGGGAGGCTTTCAGCTGCCGCTTTAAGGCCAATAAGAAATGCCTCCCTTGTTCCAATTATGAGATAATCATTACGGTGTCACAGAGTGTAAAGCACAGTTGGAGATGACTAAGATTTCTGCCATTTATTTCTGCCGGTGCAGAGAGTTTCAACGTGAAGATGTTTCTGTCTTTGGCACAAAGCGCGTCTCTAACTGTACTATTAAAATCAAAAGCGAAGAACCGGTGTGTCCGCAGGTTCAGAGTCCTCAAGTCATCGCCGTCTCCTCTGGTAAATGTTTAAACCTCCCTCTGTTGTGTTTTGAATTTCTGCAGAGGATCACAGCCGACAAATCAAGTTATCTGTCGCCGGCTCATCAGTAGAGCTTATAAGCTCTGTTTTAAGCAGCAGTCAGGATTCATAAACACCTTCTGCATCAACAGTGATGTCTAATCACAGGATATGACGATGATTTTTTATCATCAGTTCAGTTTGTAAATGCCAGTCATGTTCGTAAAGCTCCTGCCGACACTGCGGACAGGATTTAAACACACCGCTTCAAGCAGGAGCCACTCAGAGCTACAAATGACTTTTCAAGTTCGGCTGGAAAAAATGTGAAAGTAGATGCTGAATACCAGTTATATTGACACAGAAGATGGGGAAATGATCTTTTTAAATGTCAGTATATTTGGGCGCTGGGTGGCTCAGTCAGTTGTCCCGGGTTCGATTCCTGGAATCGGGCCATTTTCTGCACGTCTTCCTCTTCTTTCCTCACCCTATTTCCTGTCAAAGGTCACTAGTGTCAAAAACCGTTCAGAAATAATAACACATTAGCGTAGTTTACAGACCATTCAGTCATTGTTTCAGTTTCTCTAATCAGGATTTCCAACAGCGCCTCAGAACGGGACGTTGTGGAATTATAAACTCCAGCCGGAGATGTTGATAGATGAGTCGGGGTTTATAAACAGATCTGCAGATGACTTCATTTAAGTTCAGTTAGTAAGACAAATTCAGTCTTACTAATGTAGCGTCACATTACAACAAATATCAGGACAAATGGATCGAGTTCCATCCAAATTCAGCTCAGACGAATCCTGTAAAAATCACGTTAAAAAAAAAAGTGTTTCCCGATTTCATGTTTTTATGCATGTTTGTCACACTTCAGTGTTTCAGAACGTCAAGCCAATTTAAACGTTAAGTCGAAGGCGACACAAGTTAGCACAAAGTGCAGTTTTTAGATGGAGTGTTTCATTATTTAGGGAGCAAAAAATGTAAATGTGCATGACCCAGGATAAAAGAGCGATTGCTCCCTAAGCCTACTAGCGTTAGCAGCAACGACTGCAGTCAAGCGTTTGTGATAACTTGACTTTTGTAAACCCAGAAATGATTCAATGCTGTCAAAACTCGGAGGCTTAGAAAACGCTGCCGGGTAGAAAGGTGCCTTTCCAAGGATGAAGTGGATCTTTGACTCTGCAACAGTCCCTCACACAACACTGATGTAGAAATTGAGACAGTCTTCCTCTACACCAAAGAACCTGTTTTCTCTTTTGTGGTCCGTTTGGCTTGTTTATTATTTATCTCACCAGTAGCGACATGTGTAGCCACGTGTCTTCTGGTCTGATTAGGAGCGATGGCGTCCGTCCCGCTCTGTGGTGACGGAGAGCTGGAACTCGGCACCGGGTCCAGCGCAAGCCTGAGCGGTGACTGTCTACCGTAAAGTGGAAACGGCGGATCTGCGGCGGATCCTGCTCCTCGGCTCTTGATTTATCGCTCGTCGGGAGAGCACCATCTCAAAGATGGCGCCCTTCCCTCTCCCCTCCGTCGAACAGTTCGTCTTCCCGTCACCCCCGCTTTCCTTTCGGCCAGGTCAGGTGCCAGCTCGTTGCGGCGATGCCAGAATTTGGCATATTAATGTGTATGTGAGAGATTTGGGGAGGGGTTGGCGGCGGCGGGGGGGAGGCGGGGGGGGCATCGCCAGTTGGCAGGCTGGCACACAAAGGCTGGCACGATAAGATCCTCCCCTCTTCTGCGGGCAGATTTTCTCGCCCATATCTTTTGTTTGGCTTGTTTGGGTTGCAGCTCATCCTGATAAAGGCCACTTTGTTTAGACAACAAAGCGCGAGGGAGGGAGAAAAGACAGAGATAGAGAGACAAAGAGATAGAATGAGAGAGGGACGGGGGGTCGTTTAATAAAGGCGGCAAACGAAGGAGGGAAGCAGGAGGGGGGGTTAGGGTGGGTCACCAAAACAGATGGAAACCTTAAAGGAAAAAAAAAAAAAAAAAGGCAGATAGGGGATGAAAATTAAGGAGGAAAAAAAAAAAGATGTAGCTTGAGCTTTTCGCCAGATAGGATACCCTGAATAGTAGATGTCGGCATGGGAAAAAGATACAATGGAGTCGGGATACAGTTGCAGGCGCGGGGACAGCGATAGGCAGATAGCGAGGAGAAGAAAGAGGGATCTGGGAGAAGGGAGCAGGTTCTGCTGGCTGCCTGGAAGCCGGCCCGAGCGCTGTGAGGTCATCCTCCAAGCTGTGAATGATAGAAACCAGGAGCACAAGAGGACATGAGACAAACACACACACACACACACACACACACATTACATTACATTACATACCAGCACATGTACAGTCAGGGAGCGGCGCGGCGCGGCCCTGCTGCACACGCGCTCACGCCTGCGGGTTTCCAAGGAAGGTCAAACTTTCCGGAAGAGGAGAAAGTCTGTTTGGCCACCTCAAATATTTACTCAGGAGCAGATGTATTGTCGAAACATTACGCATCAGAGCCGCTCCATAATTAGGTGGATATTTTTCTCCCCGCTTCTCCGGGAGTCGTCCACCCCGCTCTCTCCCTTCACCCCGCCTCCCGCCTCCCCGGGGCTGCTGAAATGCATCTTGGCTCGGGACCCGCGCCTCTGGCAGCCAGAGCGCTATACATGTGCACAGAACCCTGCTCGGCATATAAAATGGCTGCCAGACAGGCTTCTCCTCCTGAAATGTCGACAGCGGTATGCATCTGCAGGGCGTGCGTGGGGCCCGAGCGAGCGAGCGCGCGTCGCTGTTTCTGAACGTGTCTGCAAAGAAGTGTTTGCTGCAAAAACTCGCACCGCCGCCGTCAGAGAAGGAGGAGGAAAGGAAAAAAAATAACAAGAAGAAGGAGAGAAAGTTTCCCAAACTATGAGGCTAATTTAACCCACACTCTCTTCATACGCGTGCATGCGTTTGTGTGTGTGTGTGTGTGTTTGTGTGCATATGTGTTCCACGACTTAGTGGGAACAGAATGGGTTCGGTGCCAGAAATTGAGGAGGAGGGAGGTTTGGAGCCAGAGTGTGTGAGTGTTTTAGCGATTATAAAATCCAGGCGAGTAACACACTTGGGTGTGGAGAAAACCTCATAAGCACTCAGAAACTTTCTTGCCGAGCCAGATTTCTGTTGCCATTACCGCTAATTGCCCTAATCGTTACAGTGGTATGATAAGTATCCCACCGGACAAGAAGGTGTAAGAACTCGTGGACACATCCAAAAATACCCACAAGCCCCTTCTGCTGGTGCTTTTTTTTTTGCACCCCTTCTCTCTCTCTCTCTCTCTCTCTCTCTCTTTTTTTTTTCTTTTTTTTTTTTTATTGCTGAGTAACAGCAGATAATCTGATTCAATCGCTGTGCTGTTTCTCCCCTTCCTTCGTGAACCGGTTTGTTTATTTAAACAAGTGGCGGGGGAAGGAGGGTGCCAAGAAATGTTGTTTTTGGAAAAGAGCAAATGTGTATGTCTATCTGTGCGCGTGGGTGTGTGTGTGTGTGTGTGTGTGTGTGTGTGTGTGTGTGTGTGTGGCGTCTGGCCTTTCCAAGCTCCCAGGGCAAAGCTGAGGCTCCTCGACCGCAACTGTTTATTTACAGGTTACACTACTGTTTATTTGAAGACTATCAGATCGGCTGGACCTCTGCACAGGACACCTTTTTAGATGTAGATAGCCGGGGCCCGGGCCCCTAATAACCCGGTTCTACACTGTACTTTATATGAGCAACCAGATAAAAAGAAATTCAGCAGTTATATACAGTTTATATTTAAAACAAACAACAGGTGCATCGAAATAAATCATAAAAGTTCATTTAGGTCAGTAGTCTAAAAGATAGTTTCAGATTTTTATGTAAGATAACCCGAGTGAATACAAAACAAATCTATTTCTATTTTAAGTAGAAAAAAGCTGCATAAACCCACCAGAATCTGTAGTTTGCCAAAACAGAACCAGTTTGGCTCAAAAAGTAACTTTGATATAAAGAAACGGATAAAATCTTTTACATCTTTTAGGGCTACAGAGTCATTTCTGAGCCAAGTGGAGGAAGCGTGAAGCCGTGGTTGGAAATAAACCCAAATTACTGCAAGATTACATCGGCTCGTTCAGGAGCTCGCAGCAGAGCGACATCTGAAGCGCTGAACGCCTTACATGGCTCAGTTAAGGTCAGAGTTCACGATTCAACAACAGCAAAGATTGAAAAAATGGCATATTTGTTGGAGCGCCGAGGCTAAAAGTAATACTGGTGGAAAAAAGAGCGATAAGTTCGTCTCGCGTTTCCCAAGCAAGAAGGAAAAAGTGGGACATTTTGTAAGGTTTCTGTTCCAACTGAATTTCAGATGGATATTCTCATGCCTGTAGCTAAACAGGGTGGTGGCAGTGTGATGCTATGGGATTACATTACTGCCACTGCTGACGGAGCCGCGAATTATGTTCATTTTATAAAGGAATTAACTTTTTGATCTCAAGCTTAGGTGCACTTGCGTTGTAGCAAGCATGAGAGGTTTGCAGTGGTCTAGTCAAAGTCTGGACTGAGGTTTGATGGAGATGCATGACTTTCACCAGGCTGCTCGTGCTCAGATTCATTAACACCGAATGAAAACAGCGAATGATGTCAGTCGTTTCTGCGAAGGCTGACACCAGTTCTTGTATGCAGGGTGTAATTAAGTTTTCACATCAGAGCAGGTTGGTTTGGTTGACTGCTTTACTTTAATGTACGATTTATTTATAAACAGTTGCTTATCTTTTGTGTTTTATGCTTTTCTTGGGGACTTTATTTGCAGCCTTTCAGTTTGACCAAACAACAAAAACCTGGAGAAAATCTGTAAGGGAGCCGAAAGAGCATTTTGCAAATTTCTCCTTTCACTTTTTCAACCTGACAGAAATTAACCTTTTAATCTAATTCATTGACCTGGACGTGTAAATGAAGCTGCAGAGATGATAAAACCAGACACTGGAAGCTGATTTTTAGCAACAAAAAAAAAACACAAAGTATCACAATCACCAAGAGGGTAAAAAAAAAAAAAAAACCCAGAGAGCAGGACGCTGCCCTTCTTGGGTCAAAGGTAAAATGTAATGCGATAGGGGAGGTGTTCCCCGCTCCGGCGCGGGCCTGGCAGATGTGCCATATGCTTGCATCCCACCTTGAGTCATCCAGGTGGTCTCTCCTGGTGCTACAGCGGGGCCTCATGCTGGAAGATGCCGCCTGCGATCTCTAATTGCTGCGACCATCTGCTCTTTTTGTCATGCCTGCCTGTTCGGCTCACAGAGAAGCAGGAGAAGATGAGAAGAGCGCAAACAAAAAGCAGAGAACTCTGATCCGATCGAACCGAGCCGGAGCGTTTCCCCCCCATCCCCCTCCCCGTCTCCCACCTTCTACTTTACCTCGCCGCTGCGCTTTTCTCTCCGCCCGCCTGCGTCGCTCCCTCTCCGCGGCTCCCGGGGAGGAGGCACGGAGTTGGCAGTCGTAACTAGACTGATGGATGACTCTGAAAGTGGAATAGAGACGGGGGGGAGGAGGGGAGGAGAGGCGGGCGCACCGAGTTCCCTGCAATCACTTTATGGACATGTGCGACAGTAAATCCACACAAACCTCCACTTGCCCACCGGAGCTTCCTCACGCACCACGTCGGCGCGCAGCAAGCGACTCCCGATTTACTGATGCAGAACATCGGAGATTGTTTGGCTCTGAAGAATTTGCGATGCTGCGCAGATTTTAGTGTCAAAGACGCCTAATCTTTCGGTAAATTTGATGATTTAGTTCTCTTTATTTTTACCGGATTTACAATGGAGCCCTGCCAGTAATTTCATGGGTGCAGCTTCTTAGCTCATTCACATTGCTGCTTTTATTTTTTTTATTTTGTTAGAAAAAAAAAAAGAGGAAAGAAAGAAATGTGACAATTTAAATAAATTACTGGTAGAATAAGCTTAAAAATCAGGTAATTGCAGGAGGAAAACGTCACACTGACAAAACTTTTAAAAAGTCCAACTGAAATTAATTAATTCCTATAAAATAAAGTCTAGGATAGCAATTTTTTTACTTTATTGTTTCTGTTTTTAAGTTATTCAAGGAGTATTTAATTAGTAATAAGTGCCTGGGATTCTAAAGTTGTTTGGTTAAGCTCAACATAATTAATTTTAAAGGCATTATCTATTGATTGAAACATTTGAAATGCCGCGGTGTGAAAACGACGGTCAAAAGTCACGTTTTACAGTGTAAAACCTCCCGATTTTAATGTGTTTTGACAGAAAGATGCCCAACTCGGATTCCTTCTTTAACTTTTCTGAAGCCTCGTACGTTTTCAGACTCCAATTTGTAGATTAGTCATTTGTTTCTAAGGCTAAGTATACGAAAATAGAGCTTTTTTTTTTCTTCTTAATGTATGGTCCTCCTCCCCTCCCCACTTTGTCATTGTTGAGCTCCAGCCAAGAACATTCTGTTTTTGCAGTGCTGTTTAATAGTCAAATTTAGGAGCAGGGGAACAAGACAGAGCGGGAAAGCGACACGAAGAGAGAACAAGAAAGGAATAAATCTTTTTGGATTCCCCCTCGCCCCACCAACCCGCTCTCCTTTCCCCTCCATCCTCTCTCTCTTTCATTTTTTTCTATTTTTTTATTTTTCCTCCCTGTAACGCAGCTCATAGGAGCTGCGACAGGAAAACGGCTGTTTTTGCAAAGGCGAGGGTATCTGAGTTCACCGTCTCTCCCCCCCCCTCTCTTTCTCTCATGTTAGATCCGTCGCATGTTGAAGGTGTAGATGATAATCTCCCTTCTGGTTCTCATTCTGTCTCGGGGGCCATGTGTGGGCCCCGGCCAGTTTGAATCATCGCTCAGACGCTGCTGCCATTAACCGCTTGGCACCACTCCGTCCGAAGTCAAGGCCTCTCTCTCTCTCGGGTCGAGTCGCTGTGCGCGCCGACTTATGTCACCGATTCTGAACTTTTACAACTTTTCGTGCCGCGTCAGAAAGATCCTGGTACTTGTCCGAAATTGACCCGGGAACTACAGAGGAATCGTATATTTCCCTGCTTCCTGCTAAAGGACGTCAGACGCAGCAAATCCTGTAGCCGGTGGAAAGAATTCAACTCATGTTTCCTTGTGTTTCCCCTCCCCTCCCTGTCCTCTCTCGCCTTTTTTTGTTTTGTTTTCCTTCTCTGCTTGTACCTTGCACAGCGGTCCCGAACACATTGTGAATCCCCCCAAAGCCCCCCTCACTCCTCCAGCCGCTGTGAAAAAGAAGCGTCCAGGGCCGTCCTGCGTCAGACGCCGCGCTCCCGCCTCAGTTTGCTCTTCCATTAATGATAATACTGTTCAAACAGAGCTGACTCTTCTCGACTGGCACAGTAGAGAAGGAAAAACCTTCGCTTCCCACCTTGAGTTCATTCAAAGTGAGAAGATCTGTGAAGTTTTAGTTTTTTTTATCTGAAACAGTGGAAGAAAAATCACACGTGCTTACAAATCTTAAAAGTGTGGTGTGTATTTGTATTTAGCATCTTTTACTCTCACCTTTTGTGTCAGAAGTAACCTATTTAGTATATTGGCGTATCATTTCATCGCCACCAGTCGTTATTTTGCCTGTTCAGAGCCACGCATAGTTTTGTGTGAAGAAAACTTTTTGTGACGCCTACGTGAGTCACACAGATAAGTCTTCTTGTGACTTTTTTTGCTACAGAAATAAGTATTTTTGTCTCGTTCCCAGTGCAGAAATATCTCAGCCCACTTGAAACGAGACAAAACTTATGTACAAGTAACTTTTCAGCAACATAGAAGCTCATTTACGTCATAAACATACTCAATAAAAGTCCTTTGCTTCAATGACAGATTATTTCACTTGCACCAGCATATTTTTCCCATGTCATTAGTGAAATCATCTTCCAGTAGAAGTAGCACTTTTTCAGCAATATTAAGGAATTGTTGACTTAAAACAAGTTTTTATATCTTGCTGAACAGTTTCTCTTGAGTTAGTTTTGTCTAATTTCAAGCGTACTAAGAAATTAGACCAAAAACATTCAGGAAGGTTTTGTGTTTCTCTCTCTCTGCCTCTCTCTCTCTTTATTTCTCTCTCTCTTTTTCTCTCTCTCTTCATGGGATTTGAACCTTGACCTTCTTTCTGCAAGGCAACAGTCTCACACCTGAGCTGTTCATCTCTGCAGCTCCTCCAGAGTCGCCGTGGTCCCCTCACGCTGCTTCTCTGATTTTCGTCACGTTAGCTAGAATGCTACTTCTCCCCTGCGCTAGCAAAAAAAGCATCGGCGTTCACTAGTGTTCTCCAACAGGCCTGGATTAATACTGAGATTAAATTAAACACTTGATTTTCTTTACATCAAGATTGTGGTTCCAGTGTGACAAAATGCATTTAATGTGGGGAGTTTTTTCAGGACTCAAACTTCTAGATTACATCAAAGGTTTTTTTGTGCTTCTCACCACTAACTCCCCGCCCCTCTCTCTCTCTCTCTCTCTCTCTGTGTCCGCAGACTCGCAGCAGTCAGGAAGTCCGAGCAACAATGAGCCAGGCAAAACCCCTCTTCCAGGTATGTAGAGCGCCGCTCGTCCTCCCGGCCTTCTGTCATCGCCGCATTGTTCCTCCACGGGGCGCAGCCGCCTTCCGACTCCTGCTTGGGAACGCCGTGACTGGCAGGCGGGAGCGGCGGAGCGCCTCTCGGGGCTGCGGGCCGACGTGCAGAGGCATGAGCCGCTGTCAGGTCTGCAGGAACACATCAGCGTGCAGCTGAGGTTTCTGCGGCAACACGCTCGTCGTTGCACTCGGCAAATCGACGTATTAAATGTAAACAGTGACGGTGCCCGAATCGAAACCTGAGCCCCGCTGTCATCGTCCAGCTACAAGCGTCAAGTACGGTTTTTCGGAAAGCAGACGGTGACGTTTGGAAGCGCTACAGAAGACTGTTGACGCTGTGCATTCTGCTTCTTTTCCCCTGGCCTGACCTCCGCCGTGTCGTCACGGCGATGGAATGCAAATACTTTCAGAAGTATAATTAGTTTTCTACCTCAAGAGCAGGTTCTGCCGACGCCGGTGCCAAGGAAAACACGCAAGCCGAGCCAGTGACTCAGGCCTGGGAGGCCCTCAGCGGGTGGCACAGTTCCTTGCGAAAGAAAAAAAAAAAAAAGAAAGTTGGCTCGCGAGAGGCGTTAAGCTTCGGAGGTGCCAGTGGAGATATTCCTCCCGTCTTTCTGGCACGGTCAGAGCGCCGTCGGTCCGCTAATCAAAGCAGAGATCGCCTCGATCGTCGGGGGCCAAATTCCCCGTTTTTCCTTGACCGACGAGACTCTGGTTACCGTCGCTACGTCCCTGTAGGTCAAACAGGTGCGGTGAATGCATCAACCATGCAGAAATACACGTATATATTTACCAAAGCTAACACCAGTTGACTCTGAGAGAAATTTTCTAAAAGCAGGAGTGGAAAAAAACGGATTTGTCACAGCAAGCTTGATTTACATGCGGCAAGTTACATCAGGTAAAATAAAACCAGTTCACATGATTGCGTCTGTTAAAACCGATATTTCCTGGTATGACTTGGACATCCCCACTGTTGACAGATTTTCTGCTTCATGTTTATTTAATGAATTATTGAGCTTTCAGCTGTTTTTACTGCGAGTCGATACCGGACTGAGCTCAAACAAAGGCAGTTTCAGCTTTTACTAGTCGACTTCCAAACAAGGAGGAGATTTTGTTTCCAGAAAAACAATTGGTGAAAGATGCAGATACTTAAAATATCTGTAACTTTGTTCACATCATTTTTATTTTTTGCTAAATGAGCAAACATACAGCACCTCGTAAAGGCATTCGTATTCCTGAATCGGATTTTGTCATTTGAGAGATTGTCAAGTTGATAGAAACTTATAAACGTTAAGTTGATGGAAACGGCAAAATTCAAAATGTTTTCCTCAGTGTCGCAAAAAAACGTTTTTTACGCTCCCTTCAGGTTTTCAACTCTTTTCCAAAAAAAAGAGTTGATGTGTGAAAGGGAAGACGGAGACGTATTTACCAAATTAGTCCGAACCTCCAGCTCAGAAAGGAGGACTTTCTCCGTTTATCTGAGATGCTGGTTTTCAATCTACTTCCTGTTTATCACAGTCATGCACGGTGTCAACATCTGACAAAACGATTTTTCATTTCTCCCGGTTTAAACAGCAGATGGAAACGCTTCTAATTCGCTCAAAACTCACATGACAATTGGATGAATTATAGCTAATGCACGTCATTGGGACCAACACAAAGTAGAGCGTAAATGTCAAGTGGAGGAAAAAATGTTTTCAAAGGTTTTTACAAATTAAATTATAAAAAAAAAAAAAAAATGTGGGCTGCGTTTGTGTTCCTCTCTTTTTCCTGCAGTGAAAGTCTTTTGTGTACGTCTGTAACAACTTTGATTGTCTAGAGACTAAAAATGTTGCTCTTCATCTTGGAAGTAAAGCTCAGATTAGACGAAGGGCATCTATGAACACCTTGCCACAAAACTGCCACTTTTAACGTAGGGTTTGAGCTTTGACTAGGCCGTTCCGAAGCATGAACGCAGCTCAAACTGAAGCGGTGCGTTCAGGGTGATCTTCAGTGCTAAAGTTGTTTCGTGTTTGTTATGTAACAGAACCTCAGATGACATTTTTCAACAGCCATGTTCTCCAACAGCCCCTGAAAGTCTGACACAACACCTGCAATTATGCCGGGATTAAATTAAACGCAGGTGAACTCCGCTTACTAATTATGCAGCTTCTGAAGGCATTGTGGCGCAAATGCATGTGGCACTCTTCAGACGTCTAGTTCAGGCACCACTGTGTGTTGCTTTGTCGTAAAACCTCCACAAAATTACTCTCGATTTGTAGGTCGTGACAAAACATGCAAAAGTTGAAGAGGTGTGAATACATTTCAGTAAAAGCTCCACATGCACGTGTGTTTTATTTTTATTTCTAAGCGGTTTAACTAACGACTGGTGTTCTTGTCGCCTTTGTTTCCGCAGTGTATTTGGAAGACAGCTTCATCAAATCAGGAGTTTTCAGTGTCGCGGAGCTGGTGCGAGTGTCTAGAAGTAAGTACACGCTTCCGTATTTGTTTTTGCTTGTTTGCTGTCGCTTCAGCAGCCGGCCTGCCTACCTGCAGCCCGTCTGAGCTGCTCCTTTGTTGTTGTTGTTTTTTGTGGAATCTCGCTGACATAGTTGGACCGTCTTAACGTCTGCAGACGGCGTAACAGGTGCATCGGAGTTGATGTAAGACTCAGGAAGCTGTCAGCTTGCATAAACTCTCGCGGCCATTAATCAAGTGTAATCAGGAAGATAAACACACCTGCGTGTTTGTGCAGAAACTTGTGGGTTTGGCGGGGTTTTTTTTTTTTCCTGGGTTAGAGCTGACCCAGAAAAGCCCTCGCCTTCGACCCCCACACACGAAAAAAAACCTCAGTTTTCCTTTGTAATCTCTGAGCTGAAATCCCAGCACACAGCTGTGCTGCAGAGAATCCAGTTTACCCAGTCTCCTTTGCTTTAGGATAACTCTTGAGTGCGCAGCTGTCTTCAGAGCTTCATCTGCACGGACATGTCTCCCCTCCTCCTCCTCCTTCTCCTCTGCAGAGCCGTTGACGGTTGTTCTCCAAAGGCTGCCCTGACAGCCAGGGGCACGTCAAGGCACAGTTTACCTGTGCAGACTCTGAGCTGAGGCAGCAACTGTAGCGAACTTGCCTGCGGAGCACAAAGACTCCAGTCACCCCTCCTCTTCTTCTTCCTCTTCCTCCTCCTCCTCCTCTCTAACCTGTGTTTAAGAGAAACATGCCGATGCTGTGTGGCCTGTGTGTTGCAGCATGCAGCAGTCAGCTACGGCGGTTCGTTCCCGCTCCGTGGTCAGGACAATCGGAGGCTGCAGCCGGGGTCAGAGTTTATGGCGGGGTCAGGAAATCGCTTCCACTAATAAAGATGCTCCATTTGTTGTCCTGTTTTTGTAGAGTAAATGGAACTGAAGCAGTTTTGCGGTTTTAAGTTAAAGCTGCTTGTGTAACTCTTATTAAAAAAAAAAAATGTTTGTTGAAACTGTCATTAAGTCATGACGGTTAAGAAAATGAATAATCTGTGAAAAATTCTACTTAGAAACCAGAAACAGAGGCAGAAGGAGGGTCTTAGCGGTGTCAATCACCCCTGGTGTGGTGCTGCTCAGCCCCTCTTGCTCTCTGCTAGCTGCAGCTTTGAAATGAACGCTCAGGCTAGTTAGCGTAGCCACTGATGACGGCAGATATACGGTTTTATATATTTTATATATTTTACAGATATACTGTAAGTAGTTTCTCCAGCATTAGCACATTAGCAATGAGTACATGAGGTTGATTGACAGCGCTGAGTCCCTCCTCCTGGCTCTGACCGGTTGTTTTCGGTTGGGAGCGTTGCATTTCTTCAGACGGCAGTAAAAGCTCTGGGAGGAGGTGGAGAAGATCGATCTTTTGAGGACAGTTTATTCATAATCCCTGATTTGCTCCTTCCACGAACATGACCTGACCCAGAGGTGAACTCATTCTTGCTGCTGTTCAAAATGGGATTAAAGAGAAGATTCGGTTAGCGGCGTGTCTCCACTGTGAACTGTTCTGTTGTTTTCTAGCCATGTTGTTCTTTGTGGTGTGTGCTGTCCAAAACGGTCTGGTTTTATTTTAATCATCCTCGCTCGCTAAAAACTTTCACATTGCTGCTGCCAGCTTGAGGTTGCTGCATATAGTAATCCTGAAATTATTCACAACCCTGGAAGATTTGTGTTTGAAATTATTGTCATTCAAGCAAAAAGACTGCTCCCGATTAGAAATAAAACATTGTTAAATGTATTCTGCGCGTTATAAACTTGCATTTTACGTGCTGATGTTTTATTTAGCCGCTTGGGCAGAGTCTCAGGAAACCAGATGCCCACAGTGGACTCAAATGATGTTGCTCAAAAATGCTGAAGGTCACAGAGTTATTTAAGAACCAACAGGAAAGAGAAGAGAGGAGATCACAGTACTGACCGCTAACATAGTGCCGTCGTAGACTCAAGCACCGACATGTCAGCGTGACGGTCAAAAACTGTTAAAAAAATTAAAAAATCTGCCAGAGTTATGAATAATCCAATCATCAGTTCGACCTTTCTCTTATAACTATGGTCAATTCCAAAAATTTACCATTTCTGCAGGGTTTCCTCCAGGGTATTATAAGCCTGGCAGGCCACCAGGCTTTCCTTGTGCCCCCACCAGGCTTAGCATTGCTTATGTAAGTTTTTTTTGTTTTTTTTATGTTTGCATTTGTTAAGACGTTATAGTTGGTGTTCAGATATTAATCTTTTAATAACTCATAATTATCAAGTGATATTTTCATATTTCCTGTCAACTTTAATTGTTTTTTTTAGCTCAAAAACACATCGGGCCGCTGACAGCACCCAACCACCAGGCTTAGCAAGTCTTCTGGGGGAAAACCCTGTTCTGGCAAACAAACCTCAGACTTTTGCCAGTTTGACAGCAGTTCTCAGTTTTAGTCACCAAAAATAATAATTTGATTCACTGAAATCTAGAAAGTCAATCTGCTGCATGTCCAAATATATTCTTTACATTTGCATGCAGAAGAGTTGGGCTGACGTTACAGAAGAGGAGACGTCTGACCTTTTTCTTCCATCTTAAACCATAAATACTTCTAAAGCTTGAGCCACATTGTCTCGTTTTGTGCTCCAAACGGCACTAACTACCCGTTTCAGTGCTCAGACACAGAATATCCCTTGGAAGGCCGTGTTTTTGTGTAGCGTTTAATTTGCCCTCTGACCAGATGGCCTCTGAGCCGCCACATTTGCTCTCATGTGACAGAGGCCGGCTTCGGCAAAGCCGAGCTGGAATTTTAAAAAGGTCGCCGGACACACAGGAATTGTCACTCACTCAGCCGGTCGCTCCCTGGGAAGATATCTAAGCAGCCGCTCGTCCGTCATCGCGCTCCTCTCCCGGCTCTCTGAGCTGTCGAGACATTCTTTGAAGTCCATCAAAGGGAGCTCTGGAGTTCAAGGCTGAATCGCAACCCGGCGTTTCGACTCATTAATGCAACACGAGCCTCAAGTTCAAGTGTAAAAAATGCATTTCTTTTTTTTTAAAACAAAGCGTGGACGTGCCCAGGCGAAGGAAGCCGGTTGATCTAGAGCACAGAAAATAATCATGTGTGGGTTTTTTTTTTTCTTTTTACTGAATTAAAGCCAAAATTATTGAATAATTGATCGACGGGGGGGGGCGGCAGACTGGCACTGCAAAAACTGCGCCACGCCAAGAGGGACGGCCAGGGGGTGGAGGGCGCGGGGCTGTCCTAACCAGCGGGTCGAGAAACAAAACAACAAAAACAATGATCTGGTATTCAGCGTCCTCGGGCCGGATGCATTCCTCCACAGACAGCCCGGCGTGGGTAGGGGCCGCTGCCAACGCTGCAGCGGGCTGCCAGGGCGGAGGCTGGCGGATCGGATCGTGCCAGTGGTGAACCTCAGACCACAACAGACGGCGCCACACACTCCATCTTCTCATCCACTCCAAGCCGATCGAGCAGTGGAGCGGCAGGCGGCCTCACGGGCCACACACTGGTGCGAGGATGGGTGGCGAACCCCTTTTGTTCTGTAAACACAGGCACGGCCTCCCTTGAAACAATATCCTTCACCTCAACCGCAGCGGGGAAAATATCACCTTTTCCTCTGTAAATCATTATCAGAGGAAACGGCGGAGAGTTTAACTGCTGGGTCTTTCTCTGCGCAGTTTTCTTTTTTTCTTTTTTTTTTCCTAATTCGCTCAGCATAAAAAGATTTAACCATATACAGTTTTACGATAATCCGTCTAAGTTCTTTATGCCTTAAATCCAAGGAACCAGACCTACTGGCAAGTTTTCAAATCGGTCTCGATAACCCGACTCTGCAAAAACACAAAATCTTACCAAAGAGTTTTGGTCAAATATCTTAGCACACTTGAAATAAGATTTTACTGACTTACAAATACGTTTTCAGCAAGACATAGGAGCTTATTTGAAGCAAGGAAATCCTTAATATTGGTGAAAAGGTTCTGGTTCCACTCAAATATCATTTCACTTATTATAAGACATTGTTCCCATGATATAAAGTAAATAATCCACAAGTTAAACTAGTACTTTTTAATCAATATTAAGGATTTACTGGCTTCTTTTTCACTCAGATCTTGTACTTGTTATGTTTAATATTTTTCATAGATTCAGTTAAATAAATGGGAATAAATCTTATTTTTGTGACAAGATGTCAGTAGCAAGTCTATAAACATTAAATCTGTTGTATTTGCCAAAGTTTATTTGTACAACGTTGGTCAATAGCCTTACCTTTATGAGGCTTTTTATGACAGGTCACGATTAAGTGGCTTAAACTATTGAATAAAAAACATGCTTGTGGATAATAGACAGAAAATGAATAAAACAGAATTTAGAGAAATACCTAAAAATACATAGAAAACCTGCAGAACTCTTAAGGATCAAGAAAACCTTAAGAAACTTAAGATCATTCTGGAAAAAATGAAAAAAACAGACTGAAACCACAAGAAGTTGAAAGTTTCCTGAGCAAGTTCTCCACATGCAGTGACTTTAGAAACACTCAGTAAACACCAAACACCTTGGACTAAAAACACAGACACTCCACCAATCACGGTCTGTGTAATAAATCATCTGCTTCTAGATGCAGGGATGGAGATGCATCTCTCAACCGGAGAGCAGAGTAACCTTGAGCTGTTTTCTTTGTGTGTCCTCCTCAGTGCCGATCACCCACGGCGCAGCGGTACCCTTCTCCATGGCGGACATGCCCAGCCAGCCCTACTATCATGACCTGAACTCCAGCGTGGCACTACAACGCTCCCTGTCCTCCCCGCCCGGCAGGTCAGTGGGACGCCAGCGAAGCGCAATTATCAGACAGTTTCTTTTACAAATATCATCTCTTGTTGCTCCAAATACTTGACTTTGTTTGCTGTATTCTAACTTTAACTTAGCTCCACTTATTTTAGGCTTTTTTGTCTTATGTTGTCCTAGTTTAGCATCTTTGCTAAGTTTAGTTTAGTAAACTTTAGCTTGTAGGAATTTAGCTTATATTAACTCAGCCACATTTTTTAAAGTTATATAAATTTGAATATTACTGAAAAGTTTGTGTTTTAGTTCCTCAATTCTCTTAGTGAAACACTTTATATAGATTAATTACATACCTACTGTTTTTAAGTCTTCATTTCCAGTTTGTGATGATTTTCTGCTTACAAGTAAGATTAGAAAATTACATCAGACTAATAAAAACAAAATGTAGGCTTAATAAAAATGTATATTACCTGTTTAGCTTTAGTCTGTTAAATAAGCTTTTTGTTTATTGTGCATTATTTTGGCTTAGCATACAGTGGTTTAGCTATGCTTATTTGAGCTACATTTTCTAATCTTAGCTAAATTTAATTTATTTTCCCATAAATCAGTATATCTGAGCATAGTTACAAGTTACAAGTTAATTTGTTGTAAATTAACTTAGCTTAGCACACATTTTTACTTTTTCATTTTAGGTTAGCATAGTTTAGCTGAACCAATTTTAGCTTCATTTAGCTTACATAACTTAAATCTGAGATTATCTAATTACTGAGATTATATTATTTCAGTTTATATTATTTTAAATTAGCACATCTTACTTGAAGCTAACATAGGACAATACTTGTCCTATGTTAGCTTAAACATGTTAGCTTAAACACAACTTGTCCTATGTTAGCTTAACTTGTTTCACAATACACAAATACATTGATGTAGTTGTTGATTTTACAAAGGTAGAAAATAAATATTAGCACCTGTTTCAATCGATATGATTTGTGGTGCATAAAACGAACGATTGCATCAAGTAATAAACCTGACTTTGCGTCCAGCAAAAGGCCCAAAACCAACATGGAGGAGAACATGGATACCAGCCCGACGGGACCCGACTTCTACTCGTCACCCAGCTCACCAGCCAGCAGCCGGGCAAACTGGCACGACAGAGATGGAGGTGATTTGCACTTTTTATTTACTTCCAGCTGCTTTATCTGGTAGTCAAATGTCAGACTGCAACTCCACCATTCCCCAGTGGCTGTCGATGGCGTGCATTATGATCGTTTTGTAGCTCAACTTACCCTTAGCCGTCCAGCCGTCGGCCATCTTAGCAACACTTTCTGCCTCCTTCACCGTCTGAACAACTTGCAGCGCTTGCATGTTGTCTGAGTATTGTCTGTCAATCTTTTGTTGCTCCTTCTGGAAACCCAAAATGCTGCCAAACACATGATTTAAGAATAATTGGGTCGTCTTATGTTACAATGTGTGTTTCAAGGTCTTATCACACCCAAACGATTCACAAGATTGTTGATATTGCTAAAAGAATCTATAAACATTTTCCATTTTCATTGCATGCAAAAAGGTTAACAGAGGTGTGTGTTTTTCTTGGTAAATAAAGTCAGACAACCTTGTTGCAAGCTGCTCTGCATTAGTCTTTCCACTGATTGTAACAAATAATCTTCAAGAACGTACTTAGTGGATGTTTCTACATTTTAAAAATAATGGCAATCACAGCAAAAGGTGAAGCAAATACTTTGTCAGAGAAAACTCGTGCAAATGTTTAAGATAATCTTTGAACATAATCTGGATTAAGCAGAACCTGATCCGTCATGGACTGTTGAATAAAGGCAGGATGGATTCCTGTTTCCATTTCACTTTTGCTAAAAACGTTCTCCTCACCATCTGAACGTTGCAGTTAAGAAAACAAAAACCCGGATCTGTTATTGTCCTGTTCTGTTGATCCTGGGTGAACTGTGACCTCGGTTGCTTTAGCCCATCTATTTAAATGTTTGAAACAGTTATTTGTCCTTCTGCTCTGAAGTGCAGAGGACTGTTGCTGAGTCGCAGTTCGGCATTTGCGGATTTTCTCTGGAAGGTGACTCCAAATTACTCGCAGAAAATTTGCTTATCATCAGATTTTTCCATACAATAACCCTAAATACCGAAAAGAAAGTTCAACTTGGGAAGCCGAAATAGTTGAAAAGCAATCCAGGATCGACGTGCTTTCCTCGCTGTTGATTGGCTGAACCGCCAAGAGCTAACGTGTAAGCATTGATGCATTTTAATGTGTAATTGGTGAATTAACTATTAAAATAGGCAGTTGAGCATTTCCAGAAGGGATCTCTAGTATATGAAGATTTGTAACTTCAGTAAGTCGTCTTCGAAATGCGTTGAGTTGCTGCCATGTGATTGTTTGAAGTGGTCTGTGAATGAACTGGACTCCTCTGGTATTAGTTTAATGAGAGCAGAGAAAATATACAGACATGTACTTATTTTATGTTCAGAGGAAAAACTAAATCCTATTTCTAAAGCGTCAGTAATGAAAATCTGTTAGTCATTCCCACCCTTTACTCTCACTTGTCTACGTTGTTTTAGTCGTATTTTACCCATAAGAGCAGGTATTCTGGTCTAACTTCGACACGCATAAAATTATTGGAAATAAAGCCCATATTTTCTTTTTTCTTTTTCTGCCTCTCCCTGCACAGTGGTTTTTAGCTCCGGTTTGAACCCAGGCCACCTCCTTTTTTCAATTTAATATAATCAGTGGGGAGGCTGCGAGAGGAAAACACCAGATGACACACAGGAGACGCAGCAGTGGTGGGATTCAGCCGCAGCCGCAATGTGGGTACACGAAATTCTAGCGTGTCCCTCTGCACAAGGCCCGAGAGCATTGCACTGCGTAAACTTAGACACTTGGGGTGAGGAGGAAGGGAATGAAGTGGGTAGGAAACTCTCCAAAGACAGCCATTACTCTGTCAAGAGAGAATAAATGAGAAGTGGGGCGATATTAAACCCATATGAGTCCTCCAAAGTGCCAAGGATTTCATTTCTTTCACGTGGTCGTCGTTCTCTGGTAGTGCTCTGGTCTGGGAAAGCACTGAAACGCTGGAGTTTATTACACACCAGCACACATTTACTCAGCCAGCACAAAACAAATCAGTCCTTTTAAACATGACTAATAAAGTTTAAAGGCAACGACGCTTCTTTAACCATTCAAAGGATTAATTAATTGCTGTAATTTACTGCAACCGCCTTTTTCTCATCCTTGAAAGTCTCCTCTAAGGTATTTCTCTTCTTTGACTGCTGCATGAAACGTATATCCTTTCCCAAATCAGGCTGGGAAATCCCCTTAAACTCCCACCACCTCTCCTGCTCGGAGATAACAAAGTTTTCCTGTTGCTTGTCCGGATCTTTCCCCGCATCTAGTCAATTCAGGGAAGGAAGTTTAACAGATTTAAATACGAAATAACATAAAACATCTTTTTCTGAAAGAAAAGAGGCAGATGAGGTGAAAGTTATACGAGTGTTCATCGTGGAAGAGGCAGGAGAAGACATAGGCCACCGCCTCTCACATCTATTTGTTATCACGTTCCCTTCAGACTCCACGTCTCGGCATGGAAAATTGAAAACCGCACAGCCGTGACAGCGGAGCGTCGCTCGTAAAACCGGGGAGCCGCAATAATGAGAAGCTCGCGTCTTCCTTTTTTTTTTTTTTTTGTGCACACTCATTCTGTCGTTAGCAACAAACGAACTTCCTCAACAATTTCGGAGCTTTCCGGATTATTCTTGGGGAATTACAGCAGTTTGTAAGGCAGAGAGTGTTGCTCTCTGCCTTAAGATTACATGAGGGGCTTAAAAGTTTAAAATCCTATTTGGGTCACTTTAATCATCTGCTCCGACGTGATAAAAGACTTGTTTTTTAAGTTATTGAGGAGTTCCGGTGATTTATTTATTATGAATCCAGAAATTGTATGGGATTTCCCCTCAGGGAGGAGATTATTTTCCAAATGCGTTTTTCATTGTCTTCTGCGTTTCCTTTTTATTACAAGAGGCCTTCAGGATCAAATTCAACCCCGTTTTAAACATTTTCTTCATTAAACAAGGCATCAGGATAAACCTTTCAGGAATTACTTGATTAATTTACAGCAATAATCTGAAATCTTGTGCATCGTTTTTCTGGTAGTCGTGTCCCTTTGTCTTTGTTCGTACATTTGGAAGCAAAATGCCACGACTAGATTTGCATTGATCAGGGGTTTTTCTGACCGATGCCAATTATTGGGTCTCAAATGGCAAATTTCATTCTAAAGCACTTAAAGAAACAATAAAAACTGACCTCAGTACTTCATGATTTAGCCAAAAAAGCAAGATCTGACCAGCCACTTTTAATCTCAACTTGTGTTGATTTTTTGTCCTACTAATTAGATTATCCTGTAGGCTTTATAAGTCAGTAGGTCTGAATTAAAAGAAAATAGTGAGAGTTCTTTGTTATGCTGCATTTACTGAGAATGGGGGGGTAGAAAAAAAAAGCAGATTGTTCAGCATCTGTCCTGCCAATCACCAATCAGGACGGATCAGGAAAAAAATTGGTCGACCGATTCCTGCTTTTCTTAAAAGACACGACTCGTAATGCTAAAAATGGCATTTATTTCATCAAAGTGAGGTTTTAGGGTTTAAAAAATGTGAAAATATACAACAGATGTGTGTAGATTGAAATTTGGAATGATATGCTGAAAAGAAATATTCCTGATTCTCTTCTATTCTTCTTCTTTTTTTTTTTTACAGAGACTCGAGCAAATAAAAATATCCCGCTGTTTCTTAACAGAAAATGAAACCCCTGTTTTCCATCACAGCATTTCCTCCCAAACTTTCATTTTTATTATACTCAAAAAAAAAAAATAAACGTACAAGCTGTACAGCCTCTTCATCTCCTTTTTCTTTAAACTATGAAGAAGAGTTGAACGCGGTTTCAGTGACGGTTTCGTTTTGGTTTCCTCTGACAGCAGAGATGTCCTCTCCCACAATGAAGAAGCCAGAAAAGCCGCTGTTCAGCCCCACCTCCCCGCAGGACTCCTCCCCACGACTCAGCACTTTCTCTCAGTCTCACCACCCGGGCCTGTCAGGTGTGGGACACAGTGGTGAGTCAAAGCTCAGTTTTTCCTCATGAGGTAAACATAAATAAATAAATCGGCGCAAACCTAAGCTTGCGGTCGCGATAGAAAGTACTCTCTCCTGCTTCTTCTTGGATTTTAACCAGGTTATAACGTCACTTAAAGCTCAAGTGTATAAACTGTTTTGTTTTTTTTTAAATAACCAGCCTGGGATTAAAAAAAAAAAAACTGCGAGTGGGAGGAAAAGCACATCTGGATTTAAGAGCGCTGCTAATCGAAGCGCTTTGTTGTTGATCTTCTGTAAGTTTGACCAAAACGCCATAAAATGAGGAGTTTTGGCTTTTTGCAGGTCCAGAGCAGAAACTGCAGTCAAAGACGGCTGCAGTTACCTCAGAGCAGCAAATTCACATATCTAGTCAGTGAAGGGTTGGACGGATACTGCCAAACAGTTTGAAATCTGCCTCTTTAAAAAGAGAGGGGGGAAAAAAACTTTTCAGAAGTGGAGAACATTTAGGACGGCCGTCGGTCTTTTCCAGAACAGACGTTCGTCCCCAAAAGCCACATTTTACACTATTACCCTCAGTTAGCAGGTTACATGTCAAAGTTCGCTGGGAATAAAACCCAACAGATGCAACGTGTTTGGAAACGTTGGCAGGAGGAAGCCTTCTAGATGATGGCAGGACAAATGACTAACAACCCGTCTGGAAATCTCAAATTATACCAAAGCAGAGATGTGGCAACTCAACTGTGACTGTGCACCGTCTGCAACAAAATGGCTCCGAACGACAAGGATGACGGTCCAGTCAAAGTCCAGACGAAAATACTAAAGAGAGCGAGACATCAACGAACTGAAAGACCGTCGTCAATTATAGATCTGACTTCAACTTATTGGTCCTGAATGTGGCTCCAGAAGCTGTTAACCCACTGAATGAACACTGGACTTTAAAGAGAGCCTCATTTATTCTGAGCCCTCTCTCTCTCTCTCTCTCTCTCTGTCTTTCTTGTCTGTGTGTTTTTCCCCCACAGTTATATCATCGAGGAGCCCCCCTTCACACTCGCCCCTGCAGTTCTCAGCCTCGGCCATCCTGCCTCCGGCACCGTCGTCCTACTTCTCCCACCCCACCATCCGCTACCCGCCTCACCTCAACCCCGCCGATCCCCTCAAGAGCTACGTGCCGTCGTACGACCCGTCCAGCCCACAGAGCAGCCAGGTCGGTCTCGTTCTGTGTGTCTGCAGGTTTAAAGTATTAGTTTGGGCTTACTCACAGAGCCTCCAGCCTTTGTTCTTTATCTTGTTGGGCTCTGACCTCGAGAGATTGAAGATAAGATAAATTACGGCACGCAGTATTTCACTAATGCCTTCAAGGTGCGCTGGGAAGTCGGGAATATGTTCTTGTTTTGCTTACATCTGCTAAATTAAAAACACATTCCTGTTAGTTGTCATAAAAGTATTCACACCCCGTGAACGTTTTCAGGTTTTGTCCCTTTACAATGCATGTGTCAGAGTCGAATCAAAGCAGTTTTTATCTGTTTTACTGCCAAACATCAATCAGTCCCTCCAGTTTCTTGTGAATTATAATGGAAATTCACGCAAAATCAGCAAATCTTTGCACTTCTTAATGCATAATTGTGAATTTATTGCAGATTTGTGGCAAAAATGGTGAAAAGTATTGGATTTGTTACTTCTACTAAACATCTGCCTGAGCCTTACTTGATTTATAATCCATAACAAATAAAAACGTCACATTTGCCGTCATACATAAGTGCAAATATTTCTGAATTAATACCACAAACACTTTGATTTTTACTGCAAAAAATCCCATGATGCTTTTGGAAGATGGATGCAGTAAGTTGTAACTGTTACTGTTTTATCTGATAAAGATGTACAATAACGCAATACTCTCTCAGGTTTGGAGAGTTTGGTTGAAATTAACTCAAAGGTTATTAAAAAAAATTCTCAATAGCGTTATTACTTATACACTTTCAATTGAATTGAATTAAACACAGAATGTTTAATATTCAGTGGGATTGTTGAGATTAAAGTATATTCATGCGGTAAAATGGACCAGTCAAAGTCCAAAACTGATGAGCTCCATCCAATCTGCCTGAACTTCACGAGCAAAAACTGATTTTCAAGATGTGAAAATAGTGGAGACCCTTAAAGCCGCAGCGACAACAAAAAAGGCGGTTCTTCAAAGTATCGACCCGAGGCTGAACACCAGCACGTTTTCAGAAAAAAGAAAAAAAAACAAAAGTGCAGAATGATGTATGATTTTCCTTCCACTTCACAACGATGCTCTTTGTGTTTGTCACATAAAAGTCCAAATAAAACACGACAAAGTTCTTGAAACGCGACAGAATGTGAATGAGATCAAGGGTTTTAAATGCTGCTGAAAGTCTCTGTCACTGACTGTAATTGGTTAAAGACACACTCATAAATCCACTGCAAAGACTATTAATCTGCTGTAATTTACACCGAGTTATGATAATAACTGAGACGATTATAAACCCTTGAATGTTTCTGTCCGTATATTTTCAACATGACATAACGCTCGGGCCAAAAGGTTATAATACACTCGGAGCCTTATGTTTGCAGTTAATTTAAAGGGAAACAACAACCGCATGACTCCATAAAAAAAAAAAAAAAAAAAATCAGCCAAACTCTTGAGACTGCAGTCACATGTATGACACGCAAATCCCCATCAGGACTCGGCTGTAAATCAGACGGCTTTCTGCGCTTTTGTGCGTTTCGGCGAACACAGTGCGGGCCAGTGTGCGCTGCGAAAGAGCGAGCGAGCGAGTCCGGCGTCTCTATAGATGAGAAAAGCCGTGTGATATTTATGTGAGTTTTATTTCCCCGCTGTTCTCACTGTAAACAAAAGCCTCGTAGACGGCTCCATCTCCAGAACGGCGGCGGTGGGGGTGTTGCTCCAGAGAGAGAGAGAGAGAAAAAATAAAAGAACCCACGGGGAATGATAAAGGTTGTAAATATTTGCCGTTGCCGGGGCCGTGCTCTTGTGCAGAATTAACTGGCCCTCTGCTGGGGTTCTGGAGAAAGACCAGTGGGGGGACGGAGGTGGAGGTGGAGGGGGTTCTGCAAATAACACAGCGCTTATAATCCCGTGGACAAGTGCCAGAATGTTTTATGCTTGCTTTAACGCAGATTATATTACACTCTAATTAAACATTCTATTCACAACGAAGGGAACCCTGCGGATTCGATTCTTCTCCGAAAAGGCCTGGTTGAGTTTTGAACTCGGGGCGGCCCCGGAGTGAACGGCCCAGACAGTCTCCAGCCGTCTCAAAGAGCAGCTCCCACTTGCTTCCTTTATACCGCGCCCCCCCCCCCCACCCCTCTTATATATATAGTCCCTCCATAGCGGCGCATTCACACCATTGTAGCGGGTCGCGCCGCAGTCCTCTCTGGCTTTTCACGCCCCTCGTCCTCCTAAAGTCCATTTAATCATTGTGAGGAATGATGTAGGAAATCCATTGTCGCTTACACACCACCTCCCCTTCCCCCCCCCACCCCTCCACCCCTTCAGCTCTTTCTGGGTATTAGTAATAACTGTGACAAGACAGCAAACGAAAGGGCTAAAATCTTTAAGCGAGAGTGTTTCAGCTGCTTTTAGTTGGGCATTTTAATTCTGTCAGGTCGCTTAAAAAAACAAAACAAAAAAAAACGGGGGGCCATAATCGGGGCGAGCTGTTTTGTTGAAATGCAGCGGCGTGCTCGTCTTATTTTATTGAGATCGGGCCAAGAGCGCGTTTACAAGCTGAGCCCGGGCTTGTAACCATAAGTCACTGTGCAGAGGATGTCCTCTTGTAATGTTATGGGTTTTGTTAGGAGACAAAACGAGTGTAGTCCCGCCACATTTATGGTTATGATGCAGCTTCTTGATTCTGAGGTCGGCGCCCGCTCCGCCGCGCATCATCAGCTAAACGAAGGCGGGACAAGTTATGGAGCTGTGAAGACGTTGTTTGGTTTTGCTTTTGTTTTTTTTTTTTATCGCGCTTAAATGTTTTATACCATCAGACTCATTTTCACATTAGGCGTATTAGACCTGAGGAAACACAAACTGCGCTCTGTAACCGGCAGTGCCACTCTTCCCGTTAAGTGTTTACAATAACTGGCGGTGAGTTTTTCACATTCCTGCGGAGGAATGTTGGCCCGATCTTCTTTCCAGAACTGTTTTAACTCAGGCGTACCGGAAGAACATCTAAGGACGCAACGCAGCATTTTCTAAAGAGAAGATCTGATGATTCGATCAGCAAAGCGTTCCTCGACAATCACACCGCCACCACCGTGTTTTCCTGTCCATTTGATGGTCTTTTTTTTTTTCTAAGATGTTTTATAACAGATTTAACAAATTACACACTTTCAAAAAAAAAAAAAAGGTTCCACACTTGTCTTATCAGTTGACAGGATATTTTTCCCAGAAGTCTTGGGAATCACTAAAACGTTAATATGAAGGACGTGCTGCTGTTTAACTGCTTTAGATAAGATTTCAGCGACAACTGTTCATGTAGCTGGTTAAGTTTTACTTCTCGTTGTTTTTCTGGATGTTTTTCCACCGACGGGTTTCCACGTCCATCTGGTTTGCAACATCGATTTATTTGACTTCAGGTCAACTATAGTAGAGTATCAGTATTGCTTAATTACCAGAATAAAGTGGCAGTTTTATGAGAACGTTGGCAAAACATTTTAAAAAATTAAAATGAGGAGCGTTGAACACCTTGTGAAATTTTAGTCGATTTACAGATAAGGAAATACTTAATCTTTTAACACATCAGCATCAAATTATGAAACAGTAGAGCAAAGGCTGAGTCCGTTTTAAAGAAAGAACTTTTTTCTCAATAAAACAACATTTTTCCTCAGAATTTTCTGGTATAATTACATATTATACCAGCTAATATTACTATATTATTGTAATTAAGCAAGAAAAAGTCTCATAAGTTATGAGACTTTTTCGAAAAGAAAGCAAGACAAAAATATCCATCATAGTGGGAAATCGAATCTGGTTTGAAAAAAGAATCAGAGATTTTATTATTAAATGCCTAATTTAACAAAGGAGCAATTACTTTTCCACACCTGTCCAGGTTGGTTTGGGTCGCTGTTTCCTCTTATGAGATTACCATTTAAAAATCCAATAACTGCCAAATAATAATAATAATAATAATAATAATACTTGTTTAAGTGTGACAAAAAAGGGCCAAATCTTGTTGATTTCTTCATCTCTCCCTCTGTCTGTCTGTCTCTCCTGACATGCAGCCTAACAGCAGTGGTCAGGGGGTTGGAAAGGTCCCGGGCCACTTCACCCCAGTGTTGGCTCCATCCCCGCACCACGGCCCGGTGCGACCCGTCACTCTTTCCATGCCCGACACCAAGCCCATCACCACATCCACAGAAGGTAGGCAGGCTGGCGCCGCGTCCAGGCATCTCCTGCATGCAGCAGTTTGTGATTTATCATCAATATGCTGAACAGATTTTGCCTTGTGAGTGTTTTTGTTTGAGGATCATCTGCTGCAGCATTCAAATATTTAAGGGTCAGTTGTTCTGAGGAATAAATAAAAATCACATTAATGATGACTAAAAGCTTCAAAGTTTATACTATTTAAGCATATGTAGCTGGCACTAAATTGTCTTTATTTTCTAAAATGCGACACTTTTAGATGGTAAGCACATTATATTTTTAAATATTTTTAATATGTAATTTTTTATATTTTAAATTTTTTGTGCATTTGTATGATATTATTCTAAATATTTTTATTTATATATTTTTATATTTCAATGCTTTATATTCACTACTTCATTTTCGTGTTTTTTGCTCAGAATAAAAGCTTTATTCCCGATTCCTAAAAGCAACAACGGTTCATGTGGCTCCAGCGAAAAGAACCTGTTGTAATACACAATATTGGTATTTTTCCAAGTTTAATGTTTGTTGGAGTTACTGAAGACTCAGAGTGAGCCAATGAATGAGCCTCGTTGTTTTTTTTTTGTTGTTGTTTATTTTTGTGATGGTAGGTTTTTAATTCACATTTCTCACACTAATAGTTACTATTCTCTCTTAGCTCATTGTAACTGTATCATCTCTAAAGACTTTACTTGCTTACAACCTTTCAAAATGTAATTTTTTTTTATAAAGTTGTGTTATTTTCTTGAAAATAACCAAAGTGGTCCGACAGCTGAGCCCTGTGGGACTCCTCCAGCCCTTTTTCTATGCAGTGTCTGTAGGGTGGCAGATTTTTAATGATGTCAAATCCGCTTTTATTCAAAGCTGACCGTCTTTTCTTTCCCCTGTGATCACTCGTCACTCAGGCTACTCGACTCCCGGCACCCCAACGTCTAATCGTTTTGTAGGCCTGAGCCCTAGAGATCCCGCCTTTCTCCACCAGCAACAGGTGAGCCGTTTTTCTCTGTTTCAGCATTAAGCTGCTCCTCTTAGTCTGATTATTTTCACCCCCCCACTTCCGAAAGATATATATATATATATATTTAAATAAAAAGAAAAAAAGAGCAGATCTGAACAAACTGGCAGAACAGCTTCTTTCACAGTTGATGTGTAACGAAGCTAAAAACAAACAAGCTCATTCCCTATCAAGCTATTTTTCCTTTCTTTTTTTATGTCATTTTAGCACAGGTGTTAAGATTTACATTTAAAAACACTTTGACAGTGAGAGAGTGTGGCTGCGATTTAGCAGGACAGTTTAGAGAAAAGGAAATCAAATCTTTGCTCCATTTAGAGAGAGAGACACAAAGGTGGAGGGTCACTGTCTTCCTTGTCTCCTCTGTTTCCTTCACACATCACTTTCGACACTTCCTTATACAACACACTCCTTTATTTACAAGCTGATAATGAAAAAAGTGCCGGCGTGTTACTGTAGGATGTCCTCGGACAGAAGTGGCAGCCCTTTGTGTGTGTTTGTGTGTTAGACGCGTTGCAGTTTTGGGGGCTTTTCGGTCGAGAAAGCGAGGCTGCTCCCCTCCACCGTGTCTTATTGAGAGAGCTGGTCCGAGGCCAAGGCTTTTCCAACCACAACTAATTGAATGCATCTGCACACGGCTACATAACGATCGCCGGGTTTCTCCCCGGCTCCGATCTTTATGCTTCGTAAAAATCACAAACCCGGCCTCTCTTTTCTCACTGTCTGTCTCTCTCCATCTTTTATTTATTCATCATGGGATTTTGAAAAATGTTGATTTAAAATAGAGAAGAAAAAAAAGGGGGGATGTTAGTTTTTTTTTTAGCCTGGTTTGGGACGCTTTGATTCCACTCGGGAGACGAGAGGAGGAAGAGGAGGAGGAGGAGGAGGAGAGGGAGGAATCACTTGGCTGATGTCGTACAGTTTGTCTTCCACATTTTCTGGTAGCCGTGTTTTTTGTGGGCCATGAAGCGAGCTCAGAACACAGCAGCGGTCCGAGTGCAGCTGCTGAATTTCGTCCAGCGATTTGCTCTCAGACTCGATAAAAGCCCATTTTTGCTCCAGATTTTAAAGCACGAATCAGCCAAGATGTATAAATATCCCCCCAAAGAAATCCAGCAGCAGTATTATTGACCATAGTTTGGAAAACACCTAAAAATGAGATGATTACAACTTTTCCTCGGGATTATTAGCTCGTTTTTTTGTTGTTTTTTTTCCTTCCCTGCGACTCATCTTGTGTCTTCTTGTGTCTGTTTCTGGTTTGGTCGTATTTGAAGACCTGGACTTTGGCCCTTCGGGGCAGAAAAAAAAAAAAACTAGACTCGATCAGAGCCAAGTCTCTCAAGACTAAACAGTTTCTCAAAATACTCCGTCATTGTCCTCATCTGGCAACGGTGTGTTTATTGTGTCAAGCCCATGAGGTTTTTGCGCTTGGAGATGATAAACTGAGCGTTTTGTTGCAGCGCTGGGCCTCGTCTCCCCTTCATTTGTGCTCCTATTTAAGGGATTTGCACAGAGACCTTTTTAGATTTCAAAATAAAATAATCGGGATGAAATGATATTTCTTGCAAAAAGCATTCATAACTCCTCAGACTGTTATATTTTGTCACGTTTCAACCACAAACTTTAAAGTTTGTGCCCGTTATGTTTAGCTGCTCAGAGCTTGGGATGTTTTTTTTTGAAGAACCTTACCACACTTTAAACTTCTCCTCTGAGTCGTCTGCTGAGCTCCTTGGTCTTCATGATGCCGTTTGATCACCGATGTTCTCCAAAAAAAAGAAAAAAAGAAACTCTGAGGCCTTCACAGAAGAGCTGGATTTATGCTGAGATTAAATTACAAGACAAATTGGTCGCTCTGGATTTTATTTAGCAGGTTTTCATTTCTACTCTTATTTTGCCATATCCACTTAAATTTTCCACTTGTGGGACTAATAACGAATTATCTTACCCTTTTACGTTTTAAAATTAAATATTAATAATATTCTTCCGATTTCACAATCGTGTTTTACTGAGGAGAGGCTCTGCACGTAAAGATCCTCTGGTATTTGTTCAGACTATTTCTACTCGAGCTGAAATTGCTAAATTATTCCGAAACAAACAGATTGGAGGAGTTTTACAATTAACGTGGGCCTCTATTTTTAAAATTTACGATAATGACAAATTACACACGCGACACATTTGGCTTTAAGACGGAACAAAAACAAAACAACAACATCACACCTGCTGTACGAGTCGCAGGCAGCGAGCGTGTGAAAACCCCTCCATTCATCTCCTGCCTTGGTTAACCCCTCGAGGGAATGCCACCGTGGAGCATTCCACAGGGAGAGATCTGTGATCAGATGTCATTTGGTATTATCTAAGGAAGGATCCTAATCCACAATCTGCCCGCATCTGTTTGCTAACGTTCCCCGGCTCCGTCCCCTCCTCCCCCTTTCTCTCTCTTTTTTTTTTTTTCCTCCTCCTTCTTCTTCTTCTTCTTCGTCTTCTCCCCTGCTGCCCCGCGCCGCCGCTCTGATGTGCTGGTGCCAGCGGACAGATGGCGAGCCCCTCGAGGAGCGGTGGGCACGGAGCGTCTGGCTCAGCCCGCATGTCCTCTCCGAGCTATTGTCAAGCCTCCGGAGTGCGGGAACGACGGTGGGAGTCGGGGGAGGGGGGGGAAGAGAGGGTTCACTTTCCCAACCTTCGATAAACAAAAACACTCTGAATGGAGCAACTTCTCATTGTGTCCTGATTTAGTTCTCCTCAGCAGCTGTTGATTAAAGGGACGATTTTAAGTGTTCGCTGCTGCCGTCTCACGTTTAGCTCAGTGACAGACAGAGGATGTAGAGAAACGTCTCCCTGAATAAAAGAATTAAACCGTCCAGGTGCTAAGAGAGAGAGAGAGAGAGAGAAAGAGAAAAAAAACCAAGAGCACATTTCTTGACCGCTGCAAATGGCTCTGAATATTCAGCGTCTTTCTGATTAAATCTCTCTTAAGAGCCTCTGCAGAGCGTCCGCCGCTGCACAAAGAGTGCTAACGGTGCACTTTTTATCCCGATGCATTACTAAATGAATGTGTTGACCACAGGGCAAGGTTAGGTTGGTGTTTGGCAGGGATAGCTCTCAGCTGGATTGCAGACACGTGCGGCCGCATAATGCATGCAGGGGAGACGACGAGGTCTGTGTGTGTGTGGCTTTTATGTTGCAGTAATTTGTAATCTGTATGTAAGGTTGGCGTGTTTTGAAATGCGAGATGAAGAAAGAGTGGGGAAAGGGAGGGTTAGCAGTACGTGTGTGTGTGTGTGTGGTTTAACTTCATTGCACTGTGACCCCAAATCAATAAAAACAGTTAGCTAATGAAAAAATAAAGTCTGCATGCTGGGGGGCATGCGCACTCCGTCCCGGACCGGGGAGAGCGCTCTGCAGTGAGGCGGTGGTTATCGACGGGCTGCATGAGTCGAACGTGTTGCACGGCTTCAGCAGGTTCCACCTGTAGTGACTGCTCACAGATGAAATGCACCGCTTTGCAAAACCGCTCATGCAGCTGGAGCTTTTCCACATTTGGTCACATTGTGACAACCGCAAAAGATAAAATGTGTTGTTGTTTTTTTTTGGAGGGGGGGAGGGTTTTATGTGATAAACCAACACAAAGTAGTGAATAATTGTGGCATAGAAGGGAACATTGTGGTGAGCATTTTTGTGTTCGGCCCCTTTCACTTTGACACTCTTAAATAAAATCTCATGCAACCAAATTAAGTCCAGCTGTTCTGTGAAAGTCTCGGAGAACTTTAGCGAGCAAACATGGAGACCAAGGAACACAGCAGACGACACATCAGGGGAAACGTTGTGGAGAAGCTTAAAAAAAAGAGTTAAAACAATAAACCAAAGTCTGGACTTCTCATTTTTATCTCAGTCCATCGTCTAAAACGGGGAGGTGTACGGTGCAGCTGCAAAGCTACCAGGACACGAATTTAAATCAAAGGCTGGACATTAACCAGAAAAGCAGCCAAGAGCCCAGTGACAACTCTGGAGGAGCTGCACTGAGCTACAACTCCGAATGGGGAATCTATTATCCTGAGGACTATTACACTGCAAAAACACACAATTTCACCAAGTATTTTTGGTTTCCAGTGCAAATATCCTGGTGCACTTGAAATAAGAAAAAAATATACTAACAAGTAACTTAACACCTGAACGCAACACCTCCATTTTGAAACACAGCGGCAGAAGCATCATGCTGTGTCGATTAAGTCGAGACTTAAAAACGGACGTTCACAAAGGCTTTTTAGAAAAGTCGGGAGATACTTTCAATCTCTCAATGTGCAAAACGCTGAATTTAACCCGAGACAGGTCGAAAACCTGTGACACTTGAACCCGATAGAAACTCACGCCTCGTTCTTTAGACTTTTATTTGTTGAAAACAACACGAAAGCAAAGCATAAGTTCCCTCCTATTTCACCGTTGCTCACTACTTTGTGTTTATGACGTGACAAAATGTGGAATAATTCAGAAAGCATGGATACTTTTGTAAGGTGCTATTTATACACGCCACTCACATTCTCTAACCAACTAACTCCACTAAATGTTCCTTAACTTCCAGGTTAGCTGCTGCCACTAACTCTAACTGCATGCCTCCCCCCACCCCGCTTCATGTCTGCTCTTAATTGACTGTAATCCCCACTACAGAAATTACATTTATATAGAAAGAAAACTGCAGTTCATCAAGTACACATGTTTTAAATTTTGGGCCCGTTCTGAGGTCCTGCCCTTGTCCTGCATGCATGTGTGTATACAGTGTTGAGTTGTAGTGTAATCTGAAGTGGAAGTTGTCTTGGCCCAGTGATCTGACCGCTAGGTTTCAATTGACAGCTGAGGAAGTGTGACTGGAGCGTGACTCAAAACGGCAGGCATTATGGCCCCAGTGCCACTGACGACACTTTGGGGATTGCTTGGCAAAGGTAACCTTTTCGTTCTTTTCATCTGCCGTCTCCCTTCTGTCTCACACATCACATGTATTTACACTTTTACCCTTTTGAAATTTAATGTCTGCTCTTTATTTTTTGACATCCTCCACATAAAGCGGTGTTCTCGCACACGAGTTGCGGCGCCTATTAGTGCCGCAATTACTCCATGCGTTTCTTTGATGGGAAAATTTTTTTGAAAAAAAAGTTATTGCCCTTTTTTAAAGTGTTTCACTCCCTCCTTTTTGTTCTTTTCTCCCCTTTATTCTGACTTAAGCACTTCCCTTGTAATTATTAAGCGCTTTCTCCTTTGCTAAGTCATGTTTAGAAATGCATTGCTCAGGCTTTTACTGGCGATAAACATTTCCAGTTTCCTTTGAGGTCTGGGCTGATCATTTCCACTGCAACACATGCAAACTCACCTGTGTAGACTTTACTTTAGTTATAAAAGCAATTGCAGCAATCATTGACCATAAAAGACAAAAAGTACTCCATGTTCCTTGGTTGGAAACTACCTCAATCGAGCCAAATGGGAGTACCTTTGGTTCAAATCCAGCAGAGATTAGTGGGACTCCCGCTAAAGATGTGTAAAAAAAAAAAAAAAAAAGCTTTAAATATAGTAATCATTTTATTACCGTAGCTTAAACTCTCTCTTTTTTTTTTATTTGACTGCATGTATTAAGCAGGAATAAAATCCTAAATTAAGAAACATCATAACTGAGTTTTTATCTAACTCAGCCATTCAACATAATGCAAATGAAGCCTTTTAAAATTTAGAATCACGATCTTAGCGTCACCAACGTCTGCTTAGCATCTGCTAACTTTTCGTCCTACCATTACAAAGGTAAACAACAGGGGCTACAGAGGCTCCAAGTTTAATGTAAAGCAAAAATGAGGGTGTAGAAAAGCGCTACATTGCCACTCTCGATGCACGGCGGCGGATGAGTGATGCTGTGGGCCCATTTCGCTTCCTAAATCCGTGGAATTAGATCAAAAAATTAAAATAAACTCTTTGAAACGTCAAACGTTTTGACAAGAACGCTGTGGCTGTTTTCCAGTGGTTTAGAGCCTGAGTGTTTCAACCAAAGCAAGACAGGAATCGGTTCATCAAACACAAAATACATTTTTTTTTTATCAGATCTTAACTCTACAGAAAACCTGCAAAGTGAAATGATTCCATCTTGTCTTATTTCCCCCCCCTCTGTATTTTAAGCGTGAAATGACGCATCAGTGTTAAAAGGCTGATTTATTTTAAGTGTTTTCACGCATGTTCATCAGGCGCCACAATAAACGCTGCTGGCACTGCATGTCCATAACCCTTATTTGATTTGTGGTGACCTTATAATTAAGTGCATCAAACAACATATTGCTGGTTGATGCATTTACCGACCGCTAACATGGAGAGATTACTTCATTTAATGAACTGGGGGGGGGGGAGTCCAGTGTTTTAGTATTTGTTTGGTGCAGAACCTCTTCTCTATTTACACAAAGAATGATAATTAAAATTCAGTATTAGTGTTTCTGTAATGAAACGGCAAGAAAAAAATCATGCAGTGTAATAATTTTGCAAGATTTTTTTTCTCCCTCTTCAACAACAACAAAAATAAAAAAGCTCCGTTTGAGGCACGTAACTGCAGCCATTCAGGAATTATCTGGTCTTTGCTTAATCTTGACCCGATGCTCTGTTGTGTTTAACTTAAAGGTACAGATTACCTCCTCCATCTTGTTTCCACATTGTGTTTCTCTCTCCTCTCTTGGGGGGAGAGAAAGAAATCCTGAATCGTTTTCAGCATGGCAGAGCAGGCGAGCTGAGCTAAGCCTTTTCCTGTTTCCCTGCACCTCCTTTTCCCCTGGATGTGCAGAGCTATCTGTGTGTGTGTGTGCGTGCGCGTGTGTGTGTGTGTGTGCGTGCGTGTGTGTGTGTACAGGTCAGTTTGCATTTGTTGAAGTTATAAACACAAATGCACGCAGCACAGACCCCCTTAACAGGCCTCTTAATAGGCGGGTAGAGGTAGCAGAGAGAAATGCCTGCTCTTTTTTTTTCCACTCACACTCCATGTGACTGTACAGTACAGTAATGAGGACAAATAAGTCTCCCGAATTTAACTTATTTTATTTATTTTATCCCTCCCTCTGTTTAGCTGACCAGCCCATGGAGCTGGAATCCATCGGATCTCTTTTATCTGCGTCGCCCCTTTAAGCTGAACCGCGTCTCTCCAGCACCGTAGCGTCCAAATTGAAAAAGCTGCCAGACTCGCATGTTGCCATTGTGCAGGAAATGGGTCAGCAATCCATTAAGATGCCATTAGATAATCTAATTTAGCGAGCTAATCCTTAAACGAAGCACGCTGTACGGCCGGGCTGTGCTTTGCGAGGTTTGGGAACGCCGAGTTAGTTAGGCCGTCTTAAAGGTTACCTGAGGAAACGCAAACATGGAGGCCGGGGTTGCTCGAGTGCAGGAATATCTTGCATATCGCATAATGTCAACCGAGCAAACCCGTCATTTTCTGTGTCCTTTTTTCCCCCTCCTAGTTACTCAGCATTTATTTTAAGCCCATTCAAGCCAAGTCACCTCTTGAACTTTTCAACATGTTATCATGTTGCAGCCACAAACCTCAGTGTATATTCTGTGGCAAACCACCACAAAGACGTGCATGACTATAAACGGTACAAAAACGAAACAAGCAAATCTGAAAAGTGTGGTGTGCATTTGGACGAGCCCACTCCATGCCAGCGAAAATCCTGTGTTGCCTTTCGAACATAATTAGTGAATTGTGTGGGTTTTTTTATTTTTTATTTTTTTATTTAATCATATTTTGAATCCAGCTATTCTTTAAAAGTTTCAGGGATTTGTTGGAGAACATTAGAGACATTTTGGCAAGAATAAAACCCCAAAGGTTACGGGATTACAAGTTCCCAGAAACCATGTAGGGGAAAAACATGCAAAATCCTATAAATGGAATTAAAATCTCACTGCACATCGCCTTGGATCATAGTGAAACATGGTGGTGGCAGTATCATGCTGGAGTTAATACACCTGCAAAAAACACCTGAGACACGGGAAGAGGTTCACCTTCCAGCAGGATGAGCTTAAATGTTCAGCTGTTAGGATGTCCTAGTCAAAGTCCAGCTATTTTCCAAAGGAGAGTTGTATTAAAAATATATAGATAATTAGGAAAGGACGCACTCCAAGAGATTTGCAGCTGTAACAGCAGCTACAAGTGGCTCTGCAAACTTTTACATTAACCCCAAACTTTTGGAGATTTTTTTATGGAGTATTTTGAAACCCGTTCTCCATGGCCTTGCACGCGCCGGATCCTGAAGTTTTGTGGGTTTTAACTTGACGGAATCCGTCAAAGTTTAGGCGGTATGAACACTTCTGCAAAGTGCTGCGCAAGCCTCGGAGCAGGAGCGGCGCAGCTTTTGGTTCGTAGGATGCAGATACGGCCTGACAGCCGTCGATTTTAATGAGATTAAGGACGATTTGCACACAAAGACCCGCAAGTGCCCTTTTGTAGCTGTGTGGTCTCCCCCACCCCCGTTTTAATGTAAGCCATTACATTAAAGAAGTTTCATAAGGAAAGAGAAACGGAGAGAGAGACCGAGCGAGAGAGAGCGAGCTGCAGCCCCCTGGCCCGCTCTGTGCGCTCTTTGTTTGGCAAGGTAGGAAAAATTTAATCCCCCGTTTCCTGTCCGATGATTTTTGGCAGGGCTGGAGGAGAGAGGGAAGGAGGGAGGGAAGAAAGCAGGAGTAGAAGGGCTGGTTGGACAGGAAAAAAGAAAAACTGTTAGAGGATTAGCCTTCAAGTCTTTTTTTTTTAACTCTTTGCGAGCTGGAATGTAACAGAGCTCTTGTGATTTTTGCTTTTGTTGTGAACACATCTCCGCTGCTTTCTCGTTGCCGTCTTTTCTCTTCGTCGTTCAGGCAGCTGGTGTTTTCACGCCCCGAGGTGAATTAAATTTGCACTTTCTTTGTTTTAAGCGCAACAACTGCGGCTAGTGGTTGATGTGAAACTCAGACAGGCTGAAGAGTTGCTTTTCATGAGACTCCCCCTCTCTCTCTCTCCACACTCCTTAAACATTTCACTCTTTTTACTTGAAATCTGCGTCGCAGGTATTCTCATCCGAGGCGAGGGTGACGCGTTGGTGCACACTGAGGGCTGGTGAGGAAGAAAAGGAGAGTAAAGAGGACGAGGAGGAGAGCAGGGGGGGCTAATTATCTGACATCTACGCAGCGCAGCGCCCCTCGGGAACAACATGCCGCTTGTTCCCGCTCGCGTTTTCAGTTAGCACCGTTGCTCCCCAGGAACAATCACCGTGTTGTTTTGCCATTAGCGTGAGATGAATAGGGATGGGGCAGCTTTGTGCACAGACCCCCACTCTCCTCTTTTTTTTAACCCCCTCTTCTTCTTTGCAGAGGAGCGGGCACTGCGTCACGACCCTCTCACATGATCCGGGATCACCTCCGCTTAGTTCAGACCAGTCGTGTCACATGTCTTAGTATGAGATTCTCACGGTATTAGCCAAAATACTGCGTTTATATATATAAAAAACACAATATGCATATTTACAGGCAGCTCATGAGACGAGAAAGCAGTAACATGGTTGGAGAGAGAAGGTTTCAGTGTAGTCTTAAAACCAAGGCGGTTCTGACGCCGAAAAGTCTTTTTTTTTCTTTTTTTTTACATTCTGATAATTTGAGTGAATATTTTTCAGAAATTGATACATATATTTTATATTGGAGGTGGTTAAATATTTCCAGATTCATAAAGAAGCTTAAAAAAATCGTTTGAAATAGCACGCTAAGTAGCAAAATCTAAATTTAGCATCGTTAGCGGCTACTGGTTAGCCTTCCATAAGAGTTCCTACAAATTCAAATATGGCACCTTGTGTCTGTGGCCATTTTTTAATGTTCTGACAATTTGGGTGAATGTTAGAAACGAATCCATATATTTTGTAGCGGAGGTGATTCATAGAAAACTGGATATAATTGTTTAAATAGCAGCTAAGTAGCAAAATCGAATTTTAGCATCGTTAGCGGCTAATTGTTAGCCTGCTACGGTGTAGTCAGAGTAAATTCAGACACTTCACCTTGTGAAACCTGCAGGCAACAACCATTCCCACCTTTATTAATTACATGTATTCAATATACAATAACAAATACTAAATTTAGCAGTATTTTTCAAGCGCTTATTCCACAAAATACACATTTTTCCATTGCGCTCTTTATAAACTAACACAAGTGTAACTAACATTAGCTGGTTAGTTATTCAGATAAAGCCTGCAGTTGGTTGCTTACCAGACATGCCTGCTTGTTGATTATCAGATTTGTGGCTCTCCTTTAGTTTCCATTTCTTCTTTATTTTATTTTTTTAGCAGTTTACTTAAGCTAATGCTCCTTCAGTTAACATCAATCATTGTGATGACTCTTTACATTATTATTTTAGAGTTGGTAGGGATGCAGCTGCTGGCTGCGACATTTTAGCTATTATGGGTTCGCATTTTTCACGCCGGTGTGACTTTCAGCCTGTTGGATGTCGTCTCCTGATGCCCACGACTATAAGTGAAAGAAAGCAGACGAGTGAGCAAAATATGGAGCAAAAGTTTTATTATTAATGTGGTTTCTGCCTGATTTTCCAATAACATGCAGCCCTGCTAGCAAAGTTTTTTTTTTTTTTTTTTTGAAAAGAAGAACCGAGTGACAAGCATAGCATTCTTCTTTCAGCCAGCTGACCGGCACTGCCCTGCGTTACTCAGTGCTCCACTGAGCTGGAGAAAACTTGAGTCACTTCAATTTCCAGTGGAAAATCATTAAAAGGATTTGTTATTTCTTGTCTTTGGTTCCTGATGTCCACAATAACTTCATAAATCTGCAAAAAAGGAAAAAGCTCCCAGCATGTCGCTAACTGTCACTTCTCTGTCCTTTTTGTGTGTTTTCTTTCCTTTTCCAGTCCTGGTACCTGGGCGAGCTTAGTTCCATTCCAAGTGTCGAACGGGACTCCGATTCTGCCAACAAATGTCCACCAGAACTACAGCATAAACATCATTGGTGAACCGCTGGTCCCCGCCGAGTCCGGGAACTGAGCTCGTCGAGGCTCGGCGCACCTCTGCCCTCCCCCCAGCCGGGGTGGACGGGCGGGGCAGAGCCGGCACTACAGGTGTCTGCAGCCATGGATGAAACCAGCAAAGCAGCAGGTGCTGCATAAACCCCCTCCTCATCAACCTCCTTACCTTCGACCTCCTGACCCCCCCCCCCCCCCTCACCTCTTCCATCTCCCCTCCTCCTGATGATGATGATGATGATGGACAGTGGCCCTGAAGTAAAGATGATGAGTGGACGGCTCAGAGGAAGGAAGAAAAGCTTCAGGTCTGATGTCTCCTCGCACACATCCACCCACCCACCAGTCAGTTGTTGCGTTTGCAGAACTTTTTTCAATCCATCTGAATACTGTGATGTATAGATGCCTTAATGTTTAATTGCATGACACTCTAGACTCTTGGCAGTAATTCCTACTTATTGTTCAACGTCAGAGGAAGGTGAAAACCATTTTGAACGCCCCGCAACACACACACACACACACACACACACACACACACACACACGCGCATGCAGTCAACCGAGGGGGGGTCTGCAGATACATCCCTGCCTGGTGGATGGCTCAGAGACTCTGAACGAACGAACGAACGATTCACTGTCTACACCGTAGGAACAAAAAAAAAAACAAAAAAAAAAATTGTGAATTCAGAGTGTTTCTTTTTTTTCTTCTTCTTTTTCTTCTGTTTGATTTCAGTTTACTGTGATACGACTCTTTGTTTTTAAGGAAAAAAAAATGTGTTGACTTTGTTTCTTTACTGCTACTTATTTCAAGAACTAATGTAAACACTTACGGGGAGAGTTGAGAACTCTCGATGCAGTTTTAAAAAAAACACTAAATGCTAACAGCTTGACATTGGACCCCTCCTAAAAAAAAAACTAAAAAAAAAGAAGACGAAAAACGACTCGCAAGTCCTTTTCAAAAGGAATGTAATAATAAAAGAGGAAGAAAAAATTTGCGACAGAGGCAAGTGCAATTGAATTTTTTTTGAAGGGAAGCTATCAGTCTGACTGCCCTAAGACTCTAAAGGAAGGGGGATAGTTATTAAATGTTTAAGAATATGATTTCAGTCACATATCCATCTCTTCGCATGAGTAAAAAAGTGTGAAAGGCAGTTTGAAGTCGAGCATAAAGCTACCTGTGCAACAGAGAAAAAAAAAAACAGCACTTAATCTGATCTGAGCACTTCCCATCACGATGGGCAATTTCTTTTTTCTTAAACAATCTAAAATAAGTCGAGAAATTACACACACACAAAGTGTGTGTGAAAGAGACATTTTGTTTCAATTAAAAAGCATTTGGCCGTCAGCTTATAAAGCTTATGTGTGCAGTTATTATCCATGCAAATGTACTGTAATCTTCATGGGTAAAGCTACAGCTTGTGCAAGGCGAACTCTAAAGTGGGAAAGGGTGAAAACTGAAATTATGAATCCAGGTGGTGGCATATCCCCGAAATCAAGATCTCTGCATGGCAATCCCGCAGCTGTTGCCCCTCCAGTCCAGACAACACACACACACACACACGCATTTATATATAAATATATACACACACACACGAGAAAAAAACAAATCTCTCCGATACTACTCCTAATTTTGCACGACGACATATAGTCCACATTACGTGCCTTGCCTTTGAATATAGAGACATCACTACAGTTGTTTTTGCTGCATTTATCATTATAGAGAGAGAGAAAAAAAATTAACATTTTTATGATAAGAATTGTTTTGTACTTTGAATGAAATTGTTGATTTTTAACTTCATGTACTACTCTATCTCACAGTTACATTGCATATCAAGGCTGTGTATAGTTGCTGTTTTAAAGTTTGTAATCTACCAGCATTTGGTTTTATTTTTTTGTTTTGTTTTTCAGTATTTTGGTGGTTTTTTTCTGATAACTTTTCATCGTTTTGTTTTCTCTCTTATCTTCAACGCTCATTTTCTTCATCTTCCCGTTACTATTGTGGAGGGTGGAATTCAGAAATATGAAAATTATGCAATACCAAGTTTTGCCTATGTAGGTAGTGCTTATAGATGTGTCAATTATTAGAGGCTAGTTTGGAGATAGAAAATATGGTAATGCATTTATTTTGTTGATGTTGTCCGTCGCTGTTGTTGTTGATGATGTTGTTGTTGTTGTGGGTGTTTCCTTTTTTTTTTTTTTTTTTTTATTGACCAAAGTGGGGACTGCTTTCTATGCAGTGTAAGGCAAGGTCTGATTTTTCTTTTTCTTGTTTCCTCCAGCATCTACCGAATGACAGTCAGACATGTTTCAGTGTAATATATTTTTTTGGAAAAGGGTGAAGTTTTTTTTTTAGAAGTATGTATTAAAAAACATTAGAATGCACCCTATGTAGGTCTTACTACGGCTGCAAAGTCACTAATTGGTCTGCTGTGACTAGGCATGGGTCAGTCACCCGTATCAAGCTACTTCAGGTTTTTAAAGATTTTCACTCACCGCTTTTGAAAGTTTAAAACATCTTTAGCAAGAAATAAAATCAGTTTTTGTCCATCTGCGAGAAGCCACACTGTCGCTATCCCTTCACAGCTGGTTAGCTAGAAAATAAACGCTGAAATACCTTTACTGCACCTACAAAAAAACACAAAATCGGGCTGTTCGAAAATATTTCCAGTTGTCCAAAAACTCATGAAATGGTAACTAAACGACTACCACTTGTCACTGATATTAAACTGACTTCAATATTTAAAATATTTTTGCCTACGTCGGCGCATAAAAATAATGCTTAATTAGTAGCTGGCTGAATTAAGGATGCTACATTTACGGAGAAAGAAAAATTCAGCTGTTAAACAATTTTTAACATGAGACAGTAAAACATAAAATTCCCCAGTTATCTTTAAAGTAAGTCAATTATGAAACTACAACTGAAAAGCTATATGCTGATTTACCAGCTAATGTTAGCTAGCTGGACTCCTAGCTTAATTTACTAGCTAATATTAGCTAGCTGTACTCCTAGCCTAATTTACTAGCTAATGTTAGCCAGGTGTACTCCTTACCTTAGGTGTAACATTTGCTGCAATACAGTTGAGTACTTGTAAACTAATAAGTTTAACACAGGATTCGTCTCAATTTTTGCTTAAGTCCACATATCAAAATCAAAATAATAAATACATTTAATTGACCGGTTTATAGCTGCAATAATCTATATGTTAAATTGTTTTGGCGGCAGCAAGAATAATGGTTTCTTTTGTTTTCTATAAAAGCAGTTTGTTTTAAATGTCCCTGTAAATGCCGTGTTTTCCCTCAAACCCACACCGGCCCATGCCTAACCATGACTCTTTCTTTCAACTTTCCACCTGGGGTGCTAGCGTGTAAACCTTTCGAACGGAGCTCATATATTTTACAGGAGAGACGGCTTGACTTGAGCGCGACAATCATTGTAGGAGATCATTTTTTTTCCTCGTAGGATCTCGGTCGGTCTCAGATCCCGGAGGGCTTCAGCCAAGCCCTGTTGTTCTCTTTTTTTCCTCGGGAGACGTCAGCCGAATGCAATTCCCGAATAGATGCCTTAACGAACACATCAGCTAAGTGGCCTGTGACCTGCGCAACAATCACACACCAACTAATGCTAGTGAGACCTGTCCAAATCAGTTCCAGACAGGCTCAGGCAAGCCTTTAGAGAGTATTTTATACCTAGTAGATTTGTATAAATGTATATAAACACACATACTCCCCTTGCAGAACCAGTAAAAGTGTGTTAAAGTAATTATTGGACTAGAGAAGAATGTTGTTTTAATGGCCGACTAGAAGCTTAAATAGAATCCACTAGATAAGGAAATATATATAGCACTTAAATAGAGCACATAGGCAATCATCTTCTCCCCCGTGCAGTGTTCAGAAGTCTCAATCTAAACCTCTCAGGCATATTACAGGGCATTATGTATATCAATCATACCGTCGTTAATGTAGAAATCAGAGTTTTCTCTCAGAGAAAAAGCCGCTCTTTTGCACTCTTTCCCTACAATCGTGAAAGAAATATTTCCTTTTCTGAGGGGCGAAATTTTCCCGCGCGCTCTCTGGTGTGAGCAGTATCAAAATGATCCTCAAGTCAAGCTCAAGCTCTTCGTCTTCACCCGGATTTATTATGCAGATGAAAAAAATTTATATATTAATTAAAAAAAAAAAAGCCACCCCGTTCTATGTGCACTGTTCTGTCTTTTCTGTTTTGTTTTATTTTAAAAAAAAAAAAGAAAAAGTGCTTTGCAGCCTTCGGCCATCAGAGACCCACTGAAGTGCATTGTCCCCAAGTGTGTCTGTTCCTCTGCGGAGTGTGTGTGTGAGTGTGTGTGAGGGTCGCTGTGCTGTCAGTGTTTGGTAAAATTGGGAGACTGTAAATAAAGGTAAATATCCTGATCGTGTTGCTGGGGGTTAAACTCTGCCTCTGCGGCTGAAGCGTGCATGCAAGGCGAGAGCGCCTGTGTTGTGTGTGAGCTGGACGTTGTGCGATCGAGTGCCTCTGACACTACGCGAAATGAGAAGATGAGGGTCTTTTTGTTCAAGTAAATAAAACTTTTTTTTTGTTTTTCTTTTTAAAATCCTGCCGTAGGACAGGAGTTTGTACACTGTAAACTTTTCTGGGGAGCTCTTCTCTTGAAGATTGTATTTGTAAATCTTCATTTCTGGGGGGATTGAGTGAGAGGGGAGGAGGGGAGAACAAGTCAATTCCATTTTAGGAAAAGAAATTAATTAGCATTTAGTTTATTTTTTTATTTTAGATGCTGGATTTGAGTTAGAACTCTCCAGGTTACCCCGAATAGTGTTGTCATCACATTTGTATTCCTGTGTGTAAAAGAAAAAAGAAAAAGAAAATGTGGCGGGTTGGAGAGATGGGAGATCAGTAAGAATAAAGAACAACAACAATGAAGGTTTTTTTTTATTATTACTATATTAATGTTATTATTTCTCATTATTCCTAGTGCTTTTAGATATTACTATTTTTTGGGGGGGGAAAACTCCATGAATATTTGAATTGTACTTTGATTAGAGTGGCCATAGTAAGTGTGATGTGACGTTTCTCAAAATTTGTAATTTCTTTTTCTTCATTTCTTTCTGTTTTATTTGATGATTTTGTTTGCTTTTTCTCTCTCAAAATGGGTGTAAATTCTT